TTGGAGAGTTTTCAGTCATTATATCTTTAAATATTTTCTTTTTCTTCTGTCCTTCTTGTAATCCCATTACATGCACACTTAATGGTCTTCAATGGTGCATATGATGGTGCTTCACATTTCTCTGGGGTTTTGCTCATTTTTCATTTTCATTCTCTGTTCTTTGGAAAGCATCTCTCTCTTACTCTATTTGCCAGTTGGCTGACAATTTCTTCTGCCAGTTCAAATCTACTATTGAACCCCTTTCGTGCATTTTTTCCTTGTCATAGTTTTTAACTTCATGAATTTAGCTCTTGCCACTTGGAGCTGCAGGGGATAAGAAATGCTGGCATCTTGCCCCTCCCTGTGAGGTACCATACCTCTGGACAGGGAGCTGAGGGAGACGGAGCTCTGTTTTCTTGGCTGCACCCACTGAAATGGGAGGGAGGGGGGAGTCTGTTGTGGCTGAAGAGTCTGACTCACTGTTCTTACCAAGATTTGGATTTCCTTGAATAAGTGTTACTTTATTCTACATGCTTTTAGGATAATTTTCAGTACATTAAGTGTTTGTGTCTCTCTGTATAAGAGGAAGGTGTTTATTTTTTGTTCCAATTTTCACCAGTTAAAGCTAATCCCTAGGACAGGGGGTCCAGAGGGCCCTTCACATTGCCATTCTGGAAGTGAAAGTCTAAAGGATATCTCAATGTTAGAAAATTTAACTGTGTACTTTACTACACTAAGAAAAGCTATACAGTTATATCAATATATACCAGAAAAGACTTTGAGGACAATCATTCTACCACGTGTGATAACCAATTATGACACCACAATGATAAAAACAATGGGTTACTAGCAAAGTTAGATAAATGGACCAATTTAACAGAATGCAGAGCCAAGAAACATTTCCATAATTATATGTAAATTGGTAAAGGTGGCATTATACATCAGGAGGAAAATAATAAACTATTTGTTAAAGGTGGTAGGGAAACTAGTCATCCGTATGGGATTAATAATTTATGAGAATGTATTCATGACCTTAGCTAGGGAATGGTTCTTAAAGAAACAAAAAAAATGGAAAGACTGAATTTACTGTATTTTAAAACTTCCATATGATAAACATCACAAAGTAGATATGAGAATATGTTAATTCTCCATATTTTTAGATAAAAGTTAAAAGACTCACAACCAATACTAAAAATCTGTAAAACACCTAGGAATAAGCCTATTATGAAATGTGCAAGAGATTTATCATGAAAGTTATTAAAATTTCATCCAAGAATATAAAAGACTTTAATAAAATGAGGCCTATCATAATACTAATCAGAAACATAATATTAATTATAAAGAAGTCTTTTATTCTTAAATTAATGTGGAAACAAATGCAACCCTAGTCAAAAGAACACCACAATTTTACTGGAATTTAATAAACTAATTACTGATTCAGCTGGAACAGAAAACACCCAAGAATAAGACACTGAAGAGGGGGAGAAAGGAAAAGCAACTTGCCCATGAATGGCAAAACACAACGCAAAGCACCAAATGACAGCATGAGGAGTGTGGTTGGTAGAACCAACACCTGGATCCACGGGTCAGAAATAGACAACTTAGCATGTGATGAGTTGAAAGCTGACATTTTAAACTGGTGGAGAAAAGAATATTTGTTGATCATTGGAATAATTGCCTTTTTGTTTTTGTTTAGGGGAACAATCCTAAAAGATAAACAACCCACAGGAAAACTAGGCAAATATAACACAAATAGGCAAAGTATGGTAGAGATCTACAAATGGCCAATAACACACAAATGTTTGATTTTATAAGTAATCAGGGAAATTCAAGTGAAAAAAAGGTACTTTCAATCATGAGACTGGTTAAAACAAAACAAAACAACCTACCGATATTGATACCACTTACTGTTGGCAAGGGTTTGGAGAAATGGGTCCTTTTATGGAGGGTGAATTGAAGCAAGTAATTTTGCTACATCAACTGACATTTAAAATCTACACAATTAATCCAACAATTCTATGCAGGCAGAGCTATACTTACAGGAATAGAAATGTCTTGCACATAATATTAAATGAAAAGTTAGTTGCAAAATAAGGATGGTATCACCCCATTAATATAAATTACATATTTAAAGCAAACTGGTTGCTGTAATAGACTTCAAAAGACAGTAGTTTAAGCAAGTCAGTATTTTATTTTACTCTTAAATAGCAAGTCAAAGGAGAACAGTTCAAGACTGGCAGGCCAACTTCTCCTTCCTCAATACATGACTTCCATCTCTTGAGATGCCAGGTCACTACTGAAGCTCCCATTGGCCTCCCAGCCAGCAAGAAAGGGGAATGTCAAGGAGAGTACATACCCTGCTTCTTTATTTAAAGGGCCAATTTGGAAGTTTAAAACTTAGTCATATGGCCACAATTAACTTTAAGGGAGGTTGAGTAGTAGTCTTAAGCTGAGCAGCCAGACGTCCAGGTAAAACTCAGAAATTTTATTAGTAAAGGAAGAATGAGAAAATGACATTATAGCAGCAGTCTGTGTCATGTGATTCTCTAAATGCATGGAGAAGACACACCAAACATAGGACTGTACTTAGCTGTGGAACAGGTGCAAGATGGTGTAGGGGTGGGGAGGCAGACTATTGCTTGAACATTTTTAATGGTGATGGTATTAACATATTTAATTTTTTGACAAAATTTTAAAATCCTTTATTTGTGCTGATAAAGCATGTTAAATACATTAAATCTACACTGTACAAAGCTTTTAAAGTTCCAAAAATTAGATTTTTATCTAAATGAATAAACTTCTCTGCATTGTTAAAACCATTCTACTTACTGCAATGTTCTCCAAGTCCCTCCATCCAGGAGGCATGATGACAATGTGTGCAGATCTCCTCACTGAGACACCACCTTCCCAAGATCATGGTACATCAGAAAAACTGAGACAAGAACTGGAACAAGGACCACCTTGCTCCTACTGCATTATAGCTTTTGACAGTATTTGTTACTTGAAGAGAAGGCTATACCTTGTCTAGCTCAATACAGTTTATGTTTCAGACACTATAAATGTGATGCCCAAATGCTTCATATGAGTGAACAAGGTCAGTAGATCACCCTGAGAACAAGGAAGACACAATTTCCTTATAGGCTAATGATTATAAAAATAGAAATTAAGAGCTCCCCAGAAACAAACCACTTAGTCAAAAAGGAAGGAGTTTTGACTTCCTTCTAAACCAAGTATTCAAGTTTAAGACTTACTGGCCTGTTTAAAAATTCCTTCTATGACTTCTCAACAATGATGGCAAAGTGACAAGAATAATGTAATCATCATCTTCCCTCATTATATATAAACCAAACTAAAAACCAAAGAAATGAACAAGCTATAATCCAAAAAAACTAGAAAATCCTGGCAGGAATCATAAAGAACATCTCTAAGAAAAGGATTCTTGGCTTAAGCAAAATATTAGAGCAGAGAAAGCAAAACTCATGTCCTCTCATGCAGTCCGGCAAGGCTCCCCCTGCCCAGGACCCTCCTGTCTGAGTCACAGGGACAAGCAGACAGAAGATCTGGACACAGCTATCCATGTTAAGCATGAGCGAGATGTAAAGAAACAGCACGGTAGGAGGGCAGGTATACTACAGAAAATGAGAGAGGAAAAGAGCAGACCAGAGAACACAAATCCAAGAAACAAACTGCACTGAGATAGCTACAGAAGAAATTCAAGGAATACAATGAATTTCAGAAAACAACACTTCAAAGATGAGATGATAAAATCATCCTGAGAAGGAAACAAGAAAAACACAGGTAAGAAAATAAACTGGGCTAGGCGCAGTGGCTCACGCCTGTAATCCCAGCACTTTGGGAGGCCGAGGCAGGCGGATCACGAGGTCAGGAGATCGAGACCATCTTGGCTAACACAGTGAAACCCCGTCTCTACTAAAAATACAAAAAATTAGCCGGGCGTGGTGGCGGGCACCTGTAGTCCCAGGTACTCAGGAGGCTGAGGCAGGAGAATGACGTGAACCCGGGAGGCGGAGCTTGCAGTGAGCAGAGATCACGCCACTGCACTCCAGCCTGGGCGACAGAGCGAGACTCCATCTCAAAAAAAAAAAAAAAGAAAATAAACTGAGGATCAAAGCAACACCATCACAGAACCATAAACACATAAACAGTAGCGAGATACAAACAGCCTTGGCTGGAATCCAAACCACAGAAACAGGAAAGCCAGTCACAGGGAATGCAAAGGCAGGCGCAAGACAAAGGCAACTGGAGAGAAGACAGCCTGCCAGCCTGCAGATAAGAGAGGTCTGGAGTGGTGTCACTTCATAGTAATAACAGCTGGGTCTGCTGTGGGCTGCAGTGATGTTTGTGTGCATGCACATGTGTGGTTTTTATGTACCTACTTTTGGCTTTAATTGGATTTTTTTTTTTAATAGCACATTTTGTGACTGTAGGAGGGAAAAAGATGCCCTTTTGTGACTGTAGAAGGGAAAAAGATGCCCTCTGCTTAAAGGAAAGCCAGGGTAAACTGAATACCCTACAACTTTCCACAAATACATGTCTTATCATTTATTAACAAACTGTTTCATGCTTTACTAATAAAAATACCCACCAATTTGCCAGTACCTTGAAAAGAGGATCTTTTCAAGAAAATTAATACAATTATCAAACAACAAATAACAAACCTGACCTTTGTGGGTGGCAAACAGTAAATTTAAATGTTTAAAGGTTATGCATCAAAATAATGCTGTTATCAGATATTGATGAACTTACTGAACAGGTTTGACTGAATATAAAACCTGTTTTTAGCACCAATAAAAAAAATTATTGAGATTTCTGTTCTGCAAACTTCTAAATGTGCTCCCTGACAGCATCTTTTGGGTAAAGGAACAAATGTGCTCCAAGGAGTAACCGTTAGGTCCCTGATTTTTTAACATAATTCAGAGTGCCAAAAAAAAAATCAATCCAAGTATTTTCTCCTTTAGCTAGCATTATTAAAACTTTTTAACTTTCAGAGAAGAGTTTCGTCTTCTTAAAGTTTTTATTCTGAGGTAGATGTCATGCAAACAAACATCAAGTGCAGCCAACTTCCATTGACAAACATGATTATTAATAATAAATTAATAATCAGAAATGCCCATTAGAAAAAGTGACTTGAAAGTTTAGGAAGCAATGTTGTTTAGCAGTATTCTGGCTTGAGTTTCCAGATTCCTTCACCACCAGAAGTTCTATGAAAAGTGCACAGATTTCTCAATAGTTCTCGGAAGACACAAGACTGCGATGCAGATAACTTGGATTCAAACTCCTGTAGTATCTCCCTAGTGCTGGCCTGGCCATCAGTGTGGGCCTGGAAAGCGATGAAGTTTCTCATCTCCACCAGAAGGTCATCATGTTCTGTGGTGGGAAGCAGGGCAGAAGCTTCCTGCAGGTGCCCGCTTTCACTTTCTAAACGCTCTGGCAGAATCAGGTGGTTTCTAGCTCTCATTTTAGCCAAGAGTGAGGAGGAAGCAAGGGCCCCGGACGAAGAGTCTGCATCTTCTGCTCTTCCACTAAAATGCTCAGGGACATTATCTTTTCCCTCCTTTTTCATGATGCCATCCTGGAAAAAGAAGACCACTACATTGATATATTTAATCTCTAGTTTATACCCCACTTCCTTCCCCAAAAGCTGTGAGGGGTCACCAGACAACACGTGTGCCAGGGTGGTGAGGTTGACGGGTTAAGACTGAGACTCCACCTAATGAAAAGGGAAAGGAGGAGGGTCCGGTATCTAAATCCTCCCACTGTTAAGAGACCATTTCCTAAAAAAATAAAATAAAATAAAAGGGGGGCAACCAAGCCATTCCCTTAGTCACCACTCTGCATGGTGGTGGAAGGGAAGGCAGAGTGGAGGTTTCCAGGCAAGGTTTCAGGAAAATCTGTCTCTAGGAGGCCCAGGACCACTTTCAGTGCCTGTGGGCTTTTCCTATTCTTCCTCTCAAATGGACCCTGACCTGTACACTGTGGATAAGGAACAGTATCATAGCTATACTTCTTTTTCCTCACTTTTAAATCTTCTTACTCTTTCCTACCTTACATCTAATGCAAGTTTCCTTAAAAAAACACAAATCTAACTCTGAAAGGGTCTCAAATCCCTACTGCTAAAAGCACAGAACATGAGAAGTCAAAAAGGTACTCATATTCCTAAACGCGTTCATATTAACTTAAAATTGGAGTCTGAATCTGGGAGTTTTAACATAATCCTTAATCAGAAAGACCACAAAGACTTCCACTGAATGGTGGAGTCTGGACTAGTTTTAATCACTGTAGCACTCAAGGCAAGCAGGGCATTCTTGAACAGAGAAAGACAGGCACTCTGCTCTAGCAGCTAGTGAGTTACAGACACCAACATTCAAGGTAGTTTTCTGGACCTTTATTTCAGAGGATTGTGGTCTCTGGAGCTGGCACTTCCCCTCTAGACAAGGCAGGCTGTCCTAGCAGCGACACACCCATCCCTGTGTCAACCTTCTAATGGTAAAACAGAAATGCTGCTACGGATCTTGGGTTAAAGACTTTGTCTTTAGGAAATCAGCAGGTCCTTTTAGATTCAAGTGAATGTGCATCGTAAATCAGAGCATGCAACACAAATATCAGGTGTCATTACACCAGAGATAACCATTTTCTTCACACCCAAAATCAGGTGAAATTTTCATGGCATTCAATCAAGCAAATCTCACCCTGGAAAGCAAAAAGGTTATCTATATTACCTGGCACTTCTCTGTTGGAGATGTCGATGAAGAATGCTGCACAGAGAAGTTAGAATTCCTTTTCTTACCAAATCTACTCCTAAAGAAGGAAAATAATCACAGTAGATTAAATGTTTGCTTTTGAGACTCAGAGATCAAAATACTCTTTCAACAATGAACTTCTTCCTGGAAACATTTCCATCTGCATGGTTATTCTTTCACAGCCACGCCATTTCTGGTCTATCCCCCTCGACTCTTCCACACCACCCTCCTAGAAAGTAACTGCTGGCCGGGTGCAGAGGCTCATGCCTGTAATCCCAACACTTTAGGACGCCGAGGCGGGCAGATCACTTGAGGTCAGGAGCTCGAGACTAGCCTGGCCAACATGGTGAAATCCCATCTTTACTAAAAATACAAAAATTAGCATGGCATGGTGGTGGGAGCCTGTAATCCCAACTATTCGGGAGGCGGAGGCTGCAGTGGGCTGAGATCACACCACCGCACTCCAGCCCAGGTGACAGGGCGAGACTCCGTCTCCAAAAAAAAAAAAAAAAGGAACTGCTGCATCTCAGAATGAGAACCACTCAGTTTCTTGTTCAAAAGATGATGGGAACCATTCTCAATTCCAGGTAGGAAAATCACTCTAAAAGAGCATACTGAATAACAAAGTAATCAATGTGTGTTGTAAATTGGCTAATTATCTCATTCAAGTTTAATCATTATCCTAGATCTCTTACTATTTTTAACAACACCATCTCTCAAATAAAACCAATCACTTCTCCTGAAGCCACTTTGGAAAACAGGGGATGAAAGCAAGCAGGAAGGCAAAGTTGTAACAGTATTTCTACAAGTCACCCAGATTTCGCTGCTATAATCTTTCCATGAGGGATTTATTCCTGAAGAGAAATAACAACATAAGCCTCCACACCTGCTCTGATTTTATTTCTAGCCTTAGTTGTTTGGCCTCCTTGCAAGTATGGCATGCAACAATCTCTTACTTTGTTCCTGCTGGTGCACCAGAAATCACCCTGTGGCCAGTCCAGGTGGGAACACCAGACACTGCTCCCAGACACTGCTGACGAGAGAGCCTCAGTGCTTTCAAGGCATCCTGAGCCACTCGGTTGGCTTCTGCTTCCACCAGTACATAATCTGGGCTGGCTCCATCCATGATGGCATCGTGCTTCATGACACTGTGCACGCCAACTAGCAAGAAAAGAAACAGCAAAGTGATATTTCACTTTGTACGCAAGAAAGACACTTTTCTCCTCTGTATAAGTACAATATTGTGGTAGACAAAAAACAAAGTCATAGTACACTTAGAAAACCCTAGAGAATCAATGATAAAAAATAGTAAAATAATTCAGGCAACATAAAAAAATAAAATTCACATACAGAAACCTGTAACGTTCCTATTTACAAACAATAGCCAGCTGAAGATAAAATGGCAGGAAAATTCTACTTACAGTAACAGAAAAGACAAAACACTTAGGAATAAACCCAAGCAATGTGTAAAGCTTGTATGGAGAAGACATGAAAACACTCCTGGGAAGAGAGACCATCAGACTTAAACAAACAGAAAGATATCCCTTGCATTTGAGAAGAATGACTCAATAACCATTTTCCCTGAGTTAATTTATATGTTTAATGCAATCTCAATAAAAATATCAAGCTTTCTTATGAAGTTAGACAAACTGATATTAAAGTTCATATAGAAAAATAAACCTTCATGAATAGATCAGAAAACACTGAAAAGGCAAAGTGACACCCTACTGGACAATAAAACATGCTCCAATTACAACAGTTTGGTGCTGAGGAAGGAAGAGACACAACAGGAGATTGACCAGAAACTAGAAATAGATTGAACTACATTTGGAAATGTATTACATGATAAAGGCATCTCTAATCACTGAGAAAACCATATTTGAAATAAATGATGCTACAAACGTTGGGGCACAAATGTTGGGGCATTTTATCTTTGAACCAAGATAAAATCCACACCTCATACTCTAAATGGATCAGAAATCTGAATGTAAAAAGCAAAACCATACAAGTAGTACAAGAAAACATGGTGAATTATCATATGATCTATGTGTAGAAAAGGCTTAGAACTACAATTCCAATTAATAAAAGACTGACAAGTGTTTTTTTTTAAAAAAAACCTGTTTCATAGGAAAAAAATTATCATAAGTAATAAAAGACAACCAATGAGGAAATACTTGTAACATATATGAAAAATGAAAAGTTAACATCCCTAATATATAAAGAACTCTTTAAAACCAAGGGGAAAAAGGGACCAAAAATCTGATTTAGAAAATGGACAAAAGATATGAACAGACAAATTCACATAAAGAAAAATTTTTTAAATATAAATGGTCCTATAAAAAGTTCAATTTCACTCAAAGAAAATAACTGCAAATTGAAACTTAATATATCTTTTCTCACCTATCAGACTGGGAAAAATTAAAAGTATAACACCACACTCTTGACAAGGCTCTGGGGAACAATTGCTGGTGACAATTCAAATTGATCTAAACCTTACAAAAGGGAGTTGGGCATTATTCAAACAAACAAAACAACCTTACATATGTGTTCACCTTTTGATCTAGCAATCTCTCTTGTACAAGCACAGGATTATTTCATGCAGCATTGTGGCTGAAAGAAGCTATAAACAATCTAAATCCTCATATGTGGATAAACTGTGGTACAGGTTTAATATCTCTTAATCAAAATTCCTGGGACCAGAAGTATTTCAAATTTTCACTTTTTTGGAATTTGGAATAATTGCATATACAAAATGAGACATCTTGGGGATGGGCCCCAAGTCTAAACACAAAATGTGTGTATTTTTAACATACACCTTACACACATAGCCTGAAGGTAATTTTAATATAATACGTTTATCAATTTTGTGCAAGAAACAAAGTGTTAACTGTGTTTTGACTGTGACCCATCACATGAAGTCAGGTGTGGAATTTTCCACATCTGGCATCATGTCAGTGCACAAAAGGTTTTGATTTTTGAGCATTTTAGATTTCGGGTTTTGGGTCAACATAGCAGAGTACTCTAGCAATAAAAATTGTTAAAGGAGGAATAGTTCTCTGTTAACTAATACAGGAGTGGCTGTCAGGATATATGAAGTTTTTTAAAAAAAGAAACAGAAGATAACATAATGTACAACCTTTTGTGTAAAAGAATAAGGGAATATGAAATTATACATGTGCCTGCTTATTTCCACAAAAAGAAACTGATACAGTTCAGCTGTGTCCCCACCCAAATCTCATCTTGAATTGTAACTCCCACAATTCCCACGTGACAAGGGAGGAACCCAGTGGGAGGTGATGAATTATAAAGATGAGTCTTTCCTACACTGTTCTCACGAGTGAATGAGTCTCACGAGATCTCATGGTTTTAAAAATGGGAGTTTCCCTGCACAAGCTCTTTGCCTGCTGCCATCCATGTAAGATGTGACTTGCTCCTCCTTGCCTTCTGACATGATTGTGAGGCCTCCACACCCACATGGAACTGTAAGTTGATCAAACCTCTTTTGTAAATTGCCCAGTCTTGGGTATGCCTTTATCAGCAGGGTGAAAATGCACTAATACAGTCCATCTGTACCAGTGGGGAGGTGCGCTGCTGAAAAGATACCCCAAAATGTGGAAGCAACTTTGGAACTGGGTAACAGGTAGAGATGGGAACACTTTGGAGGGCTCAGAAAAAGACAGGAAAACGTGAGGAGGTTTGGAACTTCCTAGAAACTTGTTGAATGGCTTTGACAAAAATGTTGATAGTGATATGAACAGTAAGCTCTAGACTGAGGTGGTCTCAGATGGAGATGAGGAACTTGTTGGGAAGTGGAACAAAGGTGACTCTTGTTATGTTTTAGCAAAGAGACTGGTGGCATTTTGCCCCTGCTGTAGAGATTTGTGGAACTTTGAACTTGAGAGAGATGATTTAGGGTATCTGGTGGAAGAAATTTCTAAGCAGCAAAGCATTCAAGAGGCGACATGGGTGTTGTTAAAGGCATTCAGTTTTATAAGGGAAGCAGTGCATAAAAGTCTGGATAATTTGCAGCCTGACAATGTGATAGGAAAGAAAACCCCATTTTCTCAAGAGAAATTCAAGCTGGCTGCAGAAATTTGCATAAGTAACGAGGAGCCAAATGTTAATCCCCAAGACAATGGGGAAAACGTCTGCAGGGCATGTCAGAGACCTTCATGGCAGCGCCTCCCATCACAGGCCCAAAGGCCCAGGAAGAAAAAGTAGTTTCATGGGCCTGGCCCACGGTTCATGCTGTGTGCAGCCTGGGGACTTGGTGTCCTGCGTCCCAGCCACTCCAGCTGTGGCTGAAAGGGGCCAACACAGAGCTCAGGCCATGGCTTCAGATGGTACAAGCCCCAAGCCTTGGCAGCTTCCACAAGGTGTCGAGCCTGAGGGTGCACAGAAGTCAGTAACTGAGATGTGGGAACCTCCACCTAGATTTCAAAAGATGTATGGAAACACCTAGATGCCCAGGCAGAAGTCTGCTGCAGGGGCAGGGTTCTCATGGAGAATCTCTGCTAGGGCAGTGCAGAAGGAAAATGTGGGGTTGGAGCCCCCACACAGAGTCCCTACTGGGGCACCACCTAGTGGAACTGTGAGAAGAGGGCCACGGTCCTCCAGACCCCAGAACGGTAGATCCACTGACAGCTTGTACCATGCACCTGGAAAGGCTGCAGACACTCAATGCCACCCATGAAAGCAGCCAGGAGGGAGGCTATACCCTGCAAAGCCAAAGGGGCAGAGCTGCCCAAGACCATGGGAACCCACCTCTTGCATCAGCGTAACCTCGATGTGAGACATGGAGTCAAACGAGATATTTTGGAGCTTTAAGATTTGACTGCCCTGCTGGATTTCAGACTTGTGTGGGGCATGTAGTCCCTTTGTTTTGGTCAATTTCTCCCATTTGGAATGGCTGTACTTACCCAATGCCTGTACCCCTATTGCATCCAGGAAGTAACTAACTTGCTTTTGATTTTACAGGCTCATAGGCAGAAAAGACTTGCCTTATCTTGGATGAGACTTTGGACTGTGGACATTTTAGTTAATGCTGAAATGAGCTGAGACTCTGGGGGACTGTTGGGAAGGCATGATTGGTTTTAAAATGTGAAGATATGAGATTTGGGAGAGGTCAGAGGTGGAACGATATGGTTTGGCTATGTCCCAGCCAAATCTTATCTTGAATTGTAACTCCCACAATTCCCACGTCATGGGAGGAATCTGATGGAAGGTGACTGAATTATGGGGTCGGGTCTTTCCTGTGCTGTTCTTGTACTAGTGAATGAGTCTCATGAGATCTGATGGTTTTAAAAACCGGAATTTCTCTGCACAAGCTCTTTGCCTGCTGCCATCCCTGAAAGATGTGACTTGCTCCTCCTTGCATGATTGTAAAGCCTCCCCAGCGTGTGGAACTGTAAGTCAATTAAACCTCTTTCTTTTGTAAATTGCTCAGTCTTGGGTATGTCTTATCAGCAGTGTGAAAACAGACTAATACAGAAACACGTGAAGGAAATGCCAGAAACTCGAGACTGGAAAGGGAAGGAAGGGGTGGGGACAGGGTGGGGAATGACACAACTCTGGTATTTCTTTTTGCATATTTTGTCTTTTGTTACTATGTTAATGTGTTGCTACTCAGAAGATAACATAGAGTCAACAAGGATGGGAGGAAACCCTAAAGTGGAATACAAACAAATAAATTAACCTAACTATATTTTAAATTGATAGCACACACTGAAAATACAAAGAAGAGAAAAAAGAACCAAGTTTTTTTTGACTCAAGAAGTGTTTTGACCAAAAACTTAAAGACAAAAATAAATAAAAACAAATACTGAACTCTAGTTAGTATAAATAAAAACAAATATTGAATTCTAGTTAGTATAACTGTTTTTGCCGTAGTTCAGGTTAGAAATTCTAAAAAACTACCATGTATCCTAGGATTGAGGAGTAACTCAGTACGTTGTGAATGAAGGTCTTAAAGAGGGAAGCTACAAACATGGAAAGGGCCCTAGGGCGCTGAAATGAAATTGGAGACAACAGTATCCCCTCATTTTATTTTGCTTTTTGGAGCTTGTTAGAGTGTAACTGATATGCAGTAACTGCTAAAGTACAGAATTGGTAAGTTGTGACATTATGTACATACCATGAAACTATCACTACAATCAAGACAATGAACATAGCCATCACCTGTAAAACTCACGTCCCTTTGTAATCCCACCCTCAAATACCCCATCCCCAGACAACCAAGCCACTTTCTGTCATGACTGTGTTTTCTAGAATTTTATGCAAATGGCATCAGAGTATGTACTAATCTTACTAGTCTGAAAGTCATCCATGCTGTAGCATGTATCAATACTCTATTTCCTTTTATTGTTGAATAGTGTATGTGTGTGTGTGTGTGTGTGTGTATACATATATATATATATATATATATATTTTGAGATGGAGTCTCACTCTGTTGCCCAGGCGGGAGTGCAATGGTGTGATCTCAGCTCACTACAACCTCCACCTCCCAGGTTCAAGCGATTCTCCCGCTCAGCCTCCCAAGTAGCTGGGATTCCAGACACCTACCATCATGCCTAATTTTTGTATTTTTGTAGAGACAGGGTTGCACCATGTTGTCCAGGTTGGACTCAAACTCCTGACCTCAGGTGATTCACCCACCTCAGCCTCCCGAAGTGCTAGGATTATAGGTGTGAGCCACCAAGCCTGGTCTGTTGATTAATATTTGATCATACGGATATGCCATGGTTAATTTAACTATTTACTTGTTGATGGACATTTGATTTCTACATTTTGGCTATTACTAATAAAGCTGCTATGAATATTCACGTCCAAGTCTTTGTATGGACATATTTTCCAGTTCTCTTGGGCAAATACACATCCAGGACTGAAAAGGCTATATCGTAAGGAAGGTGCATGCCTAATTTTTAAGAAACTGCCAAACTGTTTTCCAAAGTGATTGTGCCACTTTACATTCCCACCAGGCGTGTATGAGAGACCCAACTGCTTCACATCTTTACCAACACTTAGTATGGTCAGTCTTCTTTCATTTTAGCCATTCTAGAGGGTGTGTAGTGGTGTCTCATTATGGTCCTAATTGGCATTTCCCTAATAATTAATAATATTAACAAGTTTCATATATTTATTTGCCATCTACATATCTTTCTTGGTGAAGTCTGTTCAAATTATTTGTCCATTTTAAAAACTGGGTTATACATTTTATTTATTTATTTTTTGACATGGGGTCTCACTCTGCTGCCCAGGCTGGAGTGCAGTGGCATGATCACAGCTCACCACAGCCTCAACCTTCCAGGCTCAAGCAATCCCTCCACCTCAGCCTCCCAGGTAGCTGGGACTGCAGGTGTGTGCTACCACACCCGGCTAATTTTTTTTTACTTTTTGTAGATGGGATCTGACCATGTTGCCCAGACCTGTCTCCAACTCTTAAGCTCAAGCAATCAACACACCTCAGCCTCTCAAAGCACTGGGATTACAGACTGAGCCACCACACCCAGCCAGTAATTTTTGACTGGGTTCCAGACACTGTGAATTTCATCTTGTTGGATGTTGGGTATTTGTATATTCCTGTAAACTCTCAGGTGGAGCTGAAGCAGTGCTCACTCCAAGGCTGATCATTCCCTACTACAGAGGCAAGACCCCCTACTCTGTCCTATACCCAATGCCCCATGAAATATTTTTCCAGTCTTAGCTGGTGGGAACAGGCACTATCCCTGGCCATGGGAGAGCACCAGACATCTCTCCTCTAATTCAAAAAGTTAAAGAGGAAAGGCCTTTTCACTGACCTTAAGTAGTTTTCTTGCACAATGTGCTGGTCAGTATTCAGCTGAGTGCCAAAGGAGATTCTGCAGACCTGTGGGGTTCTCTCCCTGTGCAGAGCTGTCTCCTCTATCATCTCTTTTATGTGAATGCCAGCCACCCTGGCCTCCCCTGATGCTCAGCTCTGTTTTTTCAACAGAGGGTCTGCCTTGGACTCTCATCTGGTTTCTTCTTCTTTCTGTCACAGCATGAAAATTCTCTCAAGGCAGTAGGGCAGGGCTGGAGAGTTCAGTTCATTTGTTTCCCATCTCTCAAGAGATCACTGCCCTTTGGTGCCTGAAAACCATTGCTTCGTACGTTTTGTCATTGCTTTCATTGTTTCACATGGAAGGATAAATGTTAATCTGTCTTTGCTGGAAGCCAAACTCATGGTTTTTATAGACATAGAGATAGGTGTATCTGTGCAATTTGTTGTGCATATATATGCATGTATGTATATGTATGTACACAACAAACACATACACACACATACATACATCTATTTCCTGATACTGTTGGCTACAAAAGCAATGACATACTAGCAGCAATGAACACTCTGAGAACCCAGATCCTAGTTCCTAAATACCATTCTCCAGGGCTCCTTGAAGAAATGGCTGATTCCAGGGCTGGCACAGAATACCAATTGAGCTCAGCATATATTAGTATACCAAGAAGAAAGGAGGTGCTCAAAGAATGGGGGGGACATACCAGAGGGACAAAGGAGCCTGCCTGAAGGAGCTCCCACCCACGAGGCAAATCTAAGACAATATGAGCATCATAATACCCCTACTAATGGATTACAGTTATGGAAAAAAAGAATCCATTAGTCCATACTGATCTAAAAATAAATTAATAAATAAATAAGGGAGAAGGAAAACCTTCCTTACAGTAGAATGTTAATCACCACTTGGCAATCACTGTAGTAATAACTGACTGAGGAAAGAATCATCAATGGATATTAAAACTAGTGGATAAAATTTGGATGAGAAACAGGATATTTACACAGTCTCAAAGCATATTCCTTGAAAGTACAAATTAATTACAAAGGGAAAAATATTAATGTTAGCATTGAGAAACCTGGCAGACTCCACCTTAATCTTGAAAATTAACTTGTACTAGGTCAAACCACCATGTGTCTCCTGACAGATGCATTGAGTAAGATACAGTATCACCTCTGTGGTATTCCTGCCAAAAAAAACAATGTATGCATAGATGGGTGTGTGTGTGAATGATAAAGCAAAAGCTGAAAAATGTTAATAACTTAGGTAAAGGATATAGGAGAGTTCTTCGTATTATTCAAACTGATTTCTTTAAGTTTGAAATTACTTCAAACTATGAAATTAACAAAAAAATTAACCATGCTAAATAAAAGTCTTTCTGAAATGCTACACATAAACCTGCCTTCTTAAACTGAATGCCATAAGCAGCAATCTTTGGTAACTCAAGGTCATGACATTGTGAATACAGTGACTGCTAAGGGATCACTAAGCAGGGCTATCTATACTCCATGGTCTTGAGCAATTGTTGAGTCTACATCTCCTAACTTTTCTCCCTTGACATAAGTTATCAGCTTTCGTACTTCTAGAATGTCTGTCTCTAGCCACAAGCCTGTCTCTTTCCCTTATAATGTTACTTTAATCTCCTATGGTTGGAAAATCAGATTAATGTAGCACATAGCATGTAAAGTAACTGCCTACTAATGTTCAGGTAGTACACATCTATTTAAGAATTGCACACTTCCCATAAGTGGCCATAAGTACTACCGTTTTCCAAAGTTTCAAATTCTTCTAGGTCTTCAGAAAAGAGGCGTAAATACAATTTTTTAAATGTCAATATATTTCAAATCTAAATTTTTGAAGAAAAACGCTTCTGACTGAGAGCCCTCTATGCACCATCAGTTAAAGACTGCTACTGCTAGAAACAGCCTACTCATTTTCTGGTCCTAGCATCCCTGTGGCAAATGTATCAAATGGATTACCTGATTTTTTGAAAAGCTTTTCCAAAACATAATCATCATTGCTCTGTTCCTTGGCCTCACTCTTGTTTTCACTATCTTGCTTCTGGTAACGCCTTTTCTTCACCAGGTGTGGAATTCGAGTTCCTTCAAACTTGGCGTCTCTGCAATGCTTAGGGTTCTTAGGCTTTCGCTTTGGTCTCAGATGTTTCTCTAGGGTCTCTTCTTCTGCCACACTATGATGTTTTGTTTTTGACTTGTGCTTATAAAAATTATTTTCCATTTGTTTATTCTCCCAAAAAGATTCTGTTCGAGCCTGGCTGGGTCTTTCTCTTTTGTAAGAAAGACCCAACTTTTCATCAATGCTTTCATCACCAGATGGCCTAGAAGTTTTGCCTGTTCCTGAAGAATTTGAACATTCCCCATTTCCACTAATCACTGACGACTCTTCCGGTCCAGATACTGCATTTGTCTCTTCTCCAAGCCTATCATTGCTAGCTATATTACTACTCATGTGAGGGTCATCTTTCAAAGGATCACTTTGATTAGAAGGTACTACATTTACTTCAGCTCCTTTAGCCTCAGATTTCTCTTCAGATGATGTGGCATCATTTATTGATATGTTAGAAGCAGGGAACTTTTTGCGTTTTGGAACATCATGGTCTGCTCCAAAGGCTGGTTGAATCTTTCTTTTTAGATGGCATTTGGGTGTCTGAACATCTGATCCAGTTCCTGTAGAGGAAAAACACCGCTAATACTATATTGTATCATCTTGTGCAACTGATTACTTTAAATTAAATGATTTTATGTAATACCTGCAAAAATCGCACTTGTTTCAGTGCTCTGGGATGCATCAGGGCTAGTCAGAGTAAATAGCTCATAGAGATCATTGGATTTGAAAAAACGCCTTTGTTTTGGGTCTTTTAGCACTCTATTTGTCAAAAACTGCTTGAAGATTTGTCTAAAAAAATAAAAGATAAGCTGGTATAAAACAATGTGTAGCTCTACCTAAAAATTCAAGTTATAAAGCAATATAAGAGAAATACGATAACAGCTGCTACATGAATGGCTAAATAATACCCCAAATTTTCAGCCTTGGAAAATTACAATTCAGAAAATATATAATACATCAGTTAATCTCCCACATCTTGCAGAAATTAAATTAGAAATAATACCTTATTATTTACACCAAATGAGCTTTTTCAACCTCTAAGATCTAATCCATTTCAAGAAACACCTTTTCACATGCCATCATGTGGCTCATAGCCTCTCTTAGCCTCCCTGACTTGAATACCAAGGGTCCTGCCCTGCCTAGAACCTTCCTATGATAGGGCTCAGCAAACTCTCTTACCTGGGCTTTGCAACATCTCCACTCTGACCTCTCTCTCCCTGCTCCCACCTGCAGGTCCACACTCTGCTGAAGCCCCATGCCACTGCCACTCTGGAACAGGCACCTCCACCAGCCACACTGTCCCTCTCTGTCATTTATTCTCCTGGCTAAAGCATAAATCTGTAAGAGGAAGCTCTATTCTCACAGGATCCAACTCGTCCTCCACCCTCACACAACAGTCCCTTGAGGAAGATGTAATGTTCCCAGCATGTGATGAAGGGCATAGAACTTCCTATAAAAGCTGGGCTATGGCTCAAGGAGAGTCTGTGGTGGGGGAGTGGGAGAAGCTGGCAATGTCTTGATTCTACTGTTGAAGTTACCACTGTCTAAAATCCCCTAGTCATTACAGAAAGACAGAGGAAGAAACAGGCATCCTGTCAACTTCTTTGTAAGGGGCATCAGAGTCAAAGACCGCCAGAACACCCACACTGATCCCACCTGCATAGTATGTGTAAATACCAATATGGTAACATTTAACCTTGTCACTTTTTAAAATTTTTCTGAAGGCAACACACCATAGTAGGCAGAAATATTCCTTTCAAATAACAATACGAAGTTTACACGTACGTGATTCTTGAGGTAGAATAAGGTACAAAAATTATCAGGTTCAAAGACATTTTCTGACAACTCACAGTAAGCCATCTAAGCATATTTTAAAGGGAAAGAAAAAATACAAAACAAAAACCAAAACCTTAACTTATAGCAACTATTATTCTAAGATGTTAAGACTTTTAAAAACAACACTTTGGAAAAATTCCCTGCTCAAGACTCCAAGAGCGGCCGTCGTGTGCACTGACCGGTGGTAGATCTTTTCTTCAATGGTGCCTGCAGTGAGGAGCCTGTACACAGTCACCTGCTTCTTCTGGCCTATTCTCCATGCTCGCTCCCGGGCCTGTGGCAGAGAGAGACCTCTCAACAAGAATCCTTCCCAATGACAAGCACTGACTATAAGAAACAAAGCTAGCCGGTCACAACCTTTCACTCCCAGAGTCAGAATTTTGACTCATGATGTCAAGTACACCTAAGGCCTACTCAGGAAGATGAAGAGCCAGTTGACAAGACATCTGTACTTGAAAAAAATGTTTGTAACTATGCCTATGTTCTTTTTGCCCCAACTCTAGGAAAGAATGCTATGGATAAACTGTTGAAGATGGTTCCTGTCCACGTGGCTCTGAAGGGTGTCTTCTTCCACGCTGAAGAACACTAGACAACCAAAATGTGAAATGTACTCTGAAGTCAATCAGAACATCAAAGAACAGTCACAAGCACTAACCATGAAACTATATTTCTACTAACATATTCTTTTCTTAAAAAAATAAAAAACAAACCTGTGTGTCTGTGCTTGGGTTCCAGTCGGGGTCATAGATGACAACTCTGTTTGCCCCTGTCAGGTTGACACCTAAACCGCCCACCCGCGTGGTCAGAAGAAACACAAATATGGATGTGTCCTAGAGGTAAGACACACAACACTGAGCACACACACTTAAGACCAGTTATAGCTCTCAGCCTCTGCCTCCACATACTGTACATACGGAACTACTGGGCTGTTCCCAATACAAGGAATGGTAATGTCCTAGAGACCTCTAGTGAATCAAAATCTCATTTCACACCTTTTACTTTTAATATTTAATAGAAATATTGAAAAATTGGGTTTTTAGGAGGAAAATACATTCTGTGGAAAACACATTCTTTGTTTGAACACACACATGCCCACCCCCACCCCCAAATATCTAGAAGTGCACAGAGTTAAAAGCAACAAATCTTCCCTTAGGCCCCCTCCCAAGCCCAGATGTCAACGCTGCTTCGGTGGGTAAGGGTGTGGATACGCTTAGTCCTTTCCCTCCACGTACAGCAGCACCGCTCAACTTTCCTGTTACATTCACATGTTACCTCATTGTATCTTGTAATCAGTGGCTGTCTTGAAGCTATTGTAGTGGTACCATCCATCTTGAGATAGGTATACTTTTGGGCTCTAAGGAATACTTCAAGTATGTCCAGCATCTGTTTGGAGGTGGAGGATAAGAATTTGCAAAGCAAATACACATTCCCAGTGAGTGCTTCTCTATTTGTGTAAATGGTCACACCTTTCCCCAACAGGCCTATGTTAAAAGGAGTTTCTTACTTTAGGACAGATAAACAGAACTGTTAAAATAGTAGTTTTGGTATATCCGTATGGTTAATTCTTACTTTTGTCAACAGCCAAAGCACAGGCCTAAACTCACTTGCAGACCAAAATCACATGGTGAGCTTTTTTAAAAAGTCAACTTTTAGATACCAACTCTAGAGAAAGATCTAAACTCCCAAAGAAATCAGCAGACTGCCACCTCAGCATCAGTGGTAGACTTGCTTCAGAATCATTACTCTAGACTGAATCCCATTTTGTGAGTTGATGGCTGTCATAAAGAACCAGCCTGTTTCCTGTCTGAAGTCTGTGCACTCACCTGCCTTGACTGAGAAAACAGCAATACTCGCTGACCCTGCTTGTGCCATATTTTCAACAAAGATTCAACAACAATCATTTTCCCAGAACGTTTCCAGTACCCAAACTGATCTTCTTCTAGTTCATCATCAGGAAGACCTTTGAGATTCTTGGGACCTCCAGAAAAGAGATCAGGGTGGTTGCAAATTTTCCTTAGGGCTATGAGTCCGGAGAAAATCTATGATAAAAAAGACCATATGTACACTAAGATGACCCCATGTAAAGTAAGATTCCCTAGGCAAGGAGGCTATTCAACCTATAACACAGACTAAAAAACAGGTCTCCACCAGTTTCTTAGTTTCTTCTCTAATCACAGCATTATCAGGAGCTGGGAGAAATTAACTTTCACTCATCTTGTTTCCCTGATAGAACAAGTTCTCGGAAACAAAAAAATTCTACTGGACTGAACACGTCTACAGGGGTCATATACAATTGCTGACAATTCATTTTCCCTCGCTAGAAAAAAGGCATGCTGTTTACAGTATTATAAACTTAATATAAAAAAGGAACTTGCCTTTTAAATATAGATCAGAAATGTCCTATCAACCTAAACTTGAAGACATCAGTCATGTGACTTATCAAATGCATTTAAATATTACACTCCTAAGTACCTCACTAAAAGTTCTGCAGTTTAATATGAGTCAGAGGTTGAGGATCCATTTACCTTTAGACTATTATAATATCCGGAAAAAAAAAAAAAACTGCATGAAAAATGCACAAATCGGAAACATATGAAGTATGGTCCATGCAGAAGGGCACAGAAGATGAGGGGTGAGTGCCCCTGGCCCATCCCCACAAAAGGACATTAACAAAACTTCAATAATGGGGCTCTTCCAGCCTTGAGAGGATGACTCAAATCAAACTCACTGGTATAAAAGCTTGAGCAAAAAAGGAGAAATCACCATTAAGCCAATAATCAAAGGGTAGGGCAGCTATCACTAGTAAACAACAGTTAAACAGATTAACAATAAATGATCTGAATAAGTCAGGAACACTGGCAAACCTCCCCAGAGTCATCCGTGACTCATTTTTCTTCCTTTCAATCTGCACTGTCCAATGCAGTAGTCACTAGTCACACGTGGCTCCCGAGTACATGAAGGGTGGCTAGTTCAAACTGTGATGTGCTGCATTTGTAAAATACACACCCAATTTCAAAGACAAAAACAGGAGTAAAATATCTTGCTAATCATTTTTAATTTTTGATTACATATTAAAATGTATTTTAGATACATTAGGTCAAATAAAATATATGATCAAAATTAATTTCACCTGTTTCTCTTTTTCCTTTTTAATGTGACTACTAGAAAATTTACAATTCCAAGTGTAGTTTGCATTCTCTCTCCTGGATAGTGTGATCTAGACCTTCTAACTTGGAGAGACCTGAAGAAGTTAAGCGGAGATTCACGGAGACGAACAGATGTGAATGACTGAAAAAACCTCCTGTAGCTACCAATAAGAAATGAAATAAGAAATTGTGAGAGATGGTTAAAAGAAATGAAATGACCTAATCACACTCACATTAATAGAGTCTTTTGGAGAAAACACTAGCTAGGAACTTCTGAATTCTGGACACTAGTAGAAAGAGAGCTTTCTCAGTATTGAAAGGAACAGAATCACCATAAATAAACTACTGTCCTACCCCGGGGACAATGAGTATTAGAGCCAGGGACATTTGAACTAGATTTATATCTGGTTCCTAACATGGCAATGGTTCATAAACATTTATTGGGGAATAGGGCTCCTTTAGGAAGCTGATAAAAGTTATGAATCCTCACGATCCTCTCCACAAGATATATAATTTTGGTCATAATATCTGGGAAAACCCAGTTACGTACCTGACACTTGCCCACCTAACAAGTAAGACCCTCGGAAGTAACAGTAACTGCACAGCTCGCAGCTGCATTTGCGTCTGGGTTCAGATCCACAGTGCACAGCTCTGCAACCTTCCACCTTCCACCAGTTACCTAACTCCTCTGCACCTTACGGCTCCAGGCCATAGGCTGACTGCACATCTACCATGCAGGACTGCATGCAAGTGAAGTGAGATGACAGTATGTGAAAAGCCTGGCATACTATAGATCCTAGTTTCTTTTCCTCCCTCGCTTCCCTTGGTCCACAATTCATTTCTCCAGCTTCTATTTTTTAGCTGACCTGCATCTCTCCATTGAGAATCCTGTAAACTTCTTTGGAATCAACGAAATTTTGGTAGACTTTATGCTGCTCATCTGTAAGACGGCAAAATAAGACCTACAGAGGGGAAAAACAAGGAAACTATAATTTCAAAAAAAAATTAACAGAAATAATTAAAATAGCGACAAAACTTCTCGATCAAAAGAGCACAATGCATGCGATTTTAATGATATCCCTATAATTAATATGAAAACAACAAAGGGTGATAATACTTCTCACCATACCCTCCTCACCAGCCCCTCCATCTCTGTCACTCATCTACCTCCAGGGCCCACCCCACAGTACCCAAAGACTGGCTTCCTGCTCACGAACAAGTTCAGGGCCCAGGTGCACAGACCGTCCTCCATGTTAGCCTCCAAGTGCTCAAACCATCCCACCTCCCATGACCCATGCCATGCTCTACTCGCAGACCTGACCAGAGACCACAACCTCACCTGGAGCTCTCCTTTTCCTGGAGCTCTAAGTGCAGGCCCATGAGTTACCAGACTCACCTTGGAAGGCAATCCCTATCCTCCCAGCCCACTGCACCAACCACTCCATGCCATCGTGCTCTGTGACCCTTCACCTCTCAACCCTCCCTCCTTCGTGAAGTCCACTACCACCAGTTACATTCCCATGGATGCTCATTTAGCTACCCCTCTGTCACCTACCTGGACTGCTTTCAACTCCCTGCATCTTCCCTGTAAACTTCCAAATACAGGTCAACTCAACCATCAGTCTTCTGTAGGCCTATGGTCAGTGCCGGTGCTGCTGGAGAAAAGCTCCTACCCGGCAGCTTCCTGCCATGGCCTGCCCTGCTCCAGGGGGTCCTCTATGCATGCCCACCCAGAGCCTTCCATAAGCCCAGAGCAACTGTGCCCATGTTCCTCACCACCTAAGCCACCCACACCTCTGTCTCAACTTCTACTTAAAAACAATCAGACAAATAAAAACAAAATGAAAATCAAACCTGAACCTACCAGGATCAGGCATGATTCCCTGGTTTTCACTCCCTAACATGTCTCTACTTCTGCATCCACCTCATCTTCCTTTATTCCCAGAGAAAGAGGTTCCTGAACGGGATGGAAGGCAACGCTTCAACCTCTGCACTGCATCTGAAGACCCACTCATTCTCCTCAGTATAGCGTGCCTCACCTGTTAGCCTCCAAGTGGAAGATGGGGGCTTCCCTGGGAAAATAAGGTACAATCCCCACCTCCACTTCCTCACCTCCACTCACTCCTGAAGCCTACACACAGAGCAAGCCTCACATGCACCTCTGTTGATGTCACTGAGGCATCACTCATGACTTCCTAGTGGCCAAACACACTGGGTCCTTACCAGGTCACCCTACTCACCTTTCGACGCCCAGGCCTTCACTTCTGCTCATGCACCTGTCTTTGCCAGCCTCCCCAGTCTTCCCAGCTAGCTCCTCCTCTTCTACCCTCCTCCTTGCTCTCAGCCCTGACCACACTGCCCTCCCTGCTGTCCATGGAGGCCCCAAAGCACTGCCACAGCCCACCATCTGCAATGCTCTGCCTTCAAAACCTATATGACTTGCTCCTTCGCCTTCTTTAGGCCTCTGCTCAAGTGTCAGTTCATCAAAAGTCGTCTCTGACCATCCCTTATAAATGGCCCACTTCCCCAAATCCTTGCCCTCAGCATTCCCAGCTTATCCTTCAACCCTGCTTCATTTGTCTCCACACTTACTGCTGCTACCTGACATCTTCCAGAGTTTCTGTGACACTCTCCCTCAAGAATAAATGTGGGTTCCCACAAGAACAAAACTTGCTTTGTTCACTGCTATATCTCAGAGCCTAGGATCATGACAGACACATGGTTGGCACCTAATATAATTTGTAGCATGAATGAATTAGGGGCTTAAGGAGAATGGAGATGTTTAGAAGAGCAATTGTAGGAACCCATGTGTCAATAAGAGGGAGGTCAAAGCCTGTGGACTACAGAAGAATCCACTGAGGGCAGACGCCACAGCAGGCCTAGCCTGACCACAGTTCCAGGATCATACCTCACCAGACTCACCCACAGTGGAGAATCAGAGTGAAGAGAAAGGCACACTTATGCTTTAGGAATGCTTTGTTAACTCCTGGATTTACAGACCTGTTCATTTTTATCTGGCAAAGAAAGGCTCATCTTGACATCTGACTTCATTCTCCGTAGTAGATATGGATTTATGGTATCTCGTAATACACATGCACACTTGTAAGCAGTTTTGACCTTTAAAAAGAGCAGAGAAGAGAACAATACCATACATGTTTAAGGAATGTATTTGTTCTTACCTCTCAATAGATTCCATTCCTTAAAAAAAAATAAAAGAATGACCAACAGCTGTACAAAGTCAGTGGGAAATGATTGCAAAATGGTTTGAAAAAGCTAGCATAAGTTCCATATACTCCAAGGGGTGGTAGCTTTCATAATATTATCAGTTAAAAAAATTATCTCATTAACCACAATGTACAACAAAACTGATAATTTTGTGCCTTATTTCTCTTGTACACTTTCTTTTAATTATTACTGTACAGTTAAACCCTAAAGTAGAGACTTATTGGGTTCTTGACCACCACCCCTAGGGGAAAAACTGCTTTTGTACAAATCTCTGTTTATGATCTTGTATTCTCCAAAAGCTACAAAGGCACTCTGTAAAGCTGAAGATCAAAAGCTAACTCTAGGGAAAAGCTGCAGTGATGGAGCAGCCAGCCAATAAGCAGAGATTAGTGCCCACTGGAGACTTACAAGAGTAAGTTCAACAAGAGCCCTCTGATCCTAGAAACGAAAGGTCACTCTGCCCTAAAACGCAGCATATGGTTCTGTAATGGAGCACGGCCACATGAGATGAGTACTAAATATACGCAAAAAACAAAGCCCCACAGCCCAGAAAACCACTCCCTCTGCAATTCACTTACAGGCAAAGCAGTCAATAAATTATTGCTACTTCAAAAAAAAACTAAATAGGCTTAACAACTTAGTAAATTACAATTTCATGGAAAAAATTCCAACCAAAGTTTCAATTTAAGAAAGTCAGTTGTAAAATGAATGATAATAAAAAAGAGCTTGACCACACAGAAAAAAAGTTAAAAAATTAACTTGTTAAAAAATATTTTTAAAGAATGCTAAAAATACCTCACTCATGCACATATATGTATGTGTGTGTATCTGTTGTGTGAACGCATGTGCATAAATATTAAAATAGGCTTTACTTGGAATAATACATAAAAAAGCTCAACTAATCAATGACTTTTATTTATATATAACCCCTTAAATATATCATTCAGACATTGATAAAAATCACCTTGAAGATGATGATGAGGTACCTATTACTATTTCTGATGCAGAGATGATGAAATTTCAGAATTTAAAAACACAGTCCCACCAAGGAAGCATGAATGTACAGTCTATAAAGAAAACTGCCCCCACATCCTCCCTCCGCCTACACCCCCTTCCGCAGAAGAATGAGCATGATGGTTGGAGGTGCTGGTTAACTACACCAGGGCTAGGCTGGGGAGCGGCCGGGCTGTGGCTCCTGCTCTTTCCTGCATGCCACCCCACGGAGATGATCTTCTGTTTCACTCCCAACTGGCTCCCCCAGTCTGTTTCTCTGTTCATAAAAATACAAGGTGGGATCCAGCTAGATTTCTCTACCAATGCTCACATCCCAGTGCTGTGGAAAATGGACACCTTGCTGAGCATGCCTACGCTACTTCCTACTCTGACAAGGAAGAGTTCTGCCTCTTCCTGAGCACAGTGGCCTTAGGCAAGTCACCAGAACGCTGGGAATCAAAAACCTTGTGTGTGGAATGAAGAGGGTCAACTAGGCATCTCTGCAGGCTCTTCTCAGTTCTCACATGCCCTGCCCCAGCTGAGCACACCAACCCCAGCAGCAGTCTGTATTTGGGCTGCTGACATGCTCCCCCTCACCTTCCTCACCTTTCAGGCTCCAGCTTAGTCATCCCTGCTCCAGGAAGCCTTTCTGAGCTCCATAAGCTCTGACACTGGGCATCTCCCCTGATCACAGTTGTCACTGTCCTGTACTGGGACCAGGTTTATTTGCCATTTTCCCCTGTGCCCACCCCTACTGGACTGGAAATACCTTGGGAAGGTTCTGGTTTCCAGCTCCTGCCATCATTTTAGCACCAGCATGACAGAATAAATATCGGCACACAGACTATCTTCTTAGAATTCAATAATGCATGGCAACATGGTTTTTTTTTTTTTTTTTTTTGAGACGGAGTCTCGCTCTGTCGCCAGGCTGGAGTGCAGTGGCCGGATCTCAGCTCACTGCAAGCTCCGCCTCCCGGGTTCACACCATTCTCCTGCCTCAGCCTCCCGAGTAGCTGGGACTACAGGCGCCCGCCACCTCGCCTGGCTAGTTTTTTTTTTTTTTTTAGTAGAGACGGGGTTTCACCGTGTTAGCCAGGATGGTCTCGATCTCCTGACCTCGTGATCCGCCCATCTCGGCCTCCCAAAGTGCTGGGATTACAGGCTTCAGCCACCGCGCCCGGCAACATGGTCTTAAACAAAAAGGAGCAAATACAACCAATGCTCTGCTTTCAAAGATCTCACCCGCTAGGAAGGGCAGAAAGACAAGTACACAGATTCCTGAAACAAGAACTTCAAGGAAAAAATAGATCATAATGACATGTTCTCAAATCATTTTTCTATAAATGACTTATTAATGTCAAAGGAGAAGTGGTAACTTCACAGAGTTTAGATCTGGCCAACACCAACTTAAAGTAATCAGAGTTAACATCACCCATAGTGGGACAGACAGACAGCATGTTCCTCCAGATACCACGCACTGAGGAAGACACATCATTTCTGTGATATTCCTGGTCAAAATGTATAACCTGAATCCAATCATGAAAAAATGTAAGGCAAACCCAAACTGAGGTACATTCTACAAACTAACAGGCCTATAGTCTTTAAAAATGTCAAGATAATGAAGGGCAAAACAAACGGTCCCAGATTAAAGGAGACTAGAGACACAGAAACTACTGGAACAATTGACAAAATATGAGTGATTATAGACTAGATAACAGACTCCTATCAACGTTAAACTTCTTTCTGATTTTGTTGCTTACACTGGCTATGTAAGAGGCTATCCTTGTTCTTGGAAATACACACTGAAGGATTTGGAGAAACGGGCATCAGATCTGCAACCGGCCCTCAGATGGTTAGAAAACAGTAACTTCAGCTGTGAATCTACATGGAAAGAGGTGCGGGAGAGGGAGGGGAGGAATAGTAAAGCCAATGTGGCAAAATGTTTGCAAAATGCTAACAATCAGTGAATCTGGGTGAAGTGTTAAGAGGGTTTTCTTGTTTGTTTGTTCTTTTAAAATTCTTACAACTTTTTGTTAAGTTTGAAATTATTTCAAAATGAATTTTTTTTAAAAAAATAGAATGGTATAATGGGAGATTGAGAGAAAGAAGAGAGTCCTTACAAAAGTTAGCTGAAAATAATTCAATCTCAAAATGTAAAAGATGTTAAAATTGTTTCTGACAATCTTTTAATCTTAAAGGTCTAAAATTCTTTTTCTAATTAAATATTCCAAAATACAAGAGCTTCTCTTTTGGTGGAAAGTCTCATCCCTGGCTCAGCCATGACCTGGTAGGCACAGGCCAACCCAAGAAGGGCTGCCGAGAAACCCTGCCTCCCATCCAGGCTGTAGCCTGCCCTACAAGCCACAAACTGCCCTGTGGCTAACTTTACCTCCTGGCATTTCTGCTTGTGACCACCCCATTCCATCAGGTGCCCGGGCCTGAAACCTCAGGAGTCAGTCAGTCATTCACAGCAAGCTTAGCCCCTACTCCATCTCCTCGATCCTATCAGCCTCCAAACCTTGTTTGTTCTGCCTAAAAATGCCACCTGAGTCTCCTGCCCCACCATCTTTCTCAGACCACCACCCAAGATCAGGTACAGGTCCTCATGGCCCTCACCCCAGTGGTTCCTGCAGGTCACTCAGTGCCAGCCTCCCTCCTGTGACTACCCTGTAGCATGACGAACCCCTGAGAACCAGCATCTTCCAGAGTCCTGCTCAGACACTTTCAGTAGCCCAGTCCTCCCTGAGTGCCACTGCTTCCCTTTCAAGGCCCTTCAGTTCTGGCATCCACAGCTTTCTAGCTATGCCCCCACAAGCATCTCCGATCCAGTCAAGTGGGTCTCTTCACTGCCCCCAGCCACATATGGTGGCTGCATTCACACTGTTGCCCTAATCAAGGATGCCCTCACTCTCCATGGCCTACATTCCCAGAATCAGGTTAAGGGCCATGTCTCATTAAATCATCCCTGAACAGTCCGATCCTCCTGGTGTTTCTAAGTTTCTCCACCACTTTATAAGATGCACTATCCCAATTTGCAGAACTAAATTACATGCTGTTCCAAATGATTTGTCCTTGTTTCATAATTTCTAACTGCTCTTCTGACCACATGTGACATCTTTTTAAAATTTGTTGTCTGACTAAAACATCCCAGGAACAATGCCAAAACTGTTTAATTTCCATTAAACAAAGAGATATTTTATTCTAGGGCTTTCCTCTCTGTGAATATTTTTCATGATGTTTTAAGTAAAAAAATACGATCAAGCAAAAATAATTTTGTGATTTTTTTTTTATCAGATACTAATTTATAAGCCTGGCCATCTTTCTCACATTCTGAATGACTTGGCTACAAATTATAGTATTTAATAGGAGCATTTTAAATACTAAACTGCCAAAAGTATTATCATCCTAATATATTACCTGTACTGGGGAAGCATTTGAATATCCCCCCATGGTGATGGGGACGGAGAACTGCTCCATAAACACAGGCAACGTGCCTAACTTTCCCGGGAAGATGAAGTCAAAGAGTGACCACAGCTCTCGGAGGTTATTTTGCATTGGTGAGCCAGACAGGATGATCCGATGAGGGGTGCGAAACTATTTGAGGAAAGGAAACACCTTTTTATTAAATTTACCTTTTAGCAATCACCATTCCTACCCCAAAACGCTCCTCTGCAATATTATTTACACATTTACTCATTATTCTTGCATCATTTTGGTACTCTCTAAAACATACACATTTTATGCAATTACAAATCCTTAATTACATTTAGATGAAAAAATTACAAAGAATTTTTTCTTATTGTTGAAGCTGAATACTATAGAGTTGGGTTTGGTTACATTCTAACAACTGGCCCCTACAAGAGACACTAAATAACGTGAACAATCAGAATTAAAGACATGATCAAGGGCAAAAATAAGGAGTTCTTTGCATTAACGAAAATGCACATTTTAAATTCCTTGTGCAGTTGGCACAAGAAAAGATTAATAAATGTGTTACTAAAAGCAGATCGTTTATTCTGAATTAAATATTCTTCTCCACCTGGAAATCTCCCTTGTTATAAGAGGTCATACCTGTTTGCAAGCAAGGGTGACAGCAGCATTTGGATTTCGAATTTTGTGTCCTTCGTCCAAGATCACATAATGCCAGTCATACCTGCTAATGTCATCCTGCATCAGTCGAATGTAGGAGTAAGATGTGATCAAAATTCCATGACAATGAGCAACATCTCGAATTAGTTTCTCCTAAGACCATAATAAAATGGTAAAGTCAGTTTTAAATAAGAAGTGACACCCTTTCAATCATGACACAATCTAAAGCACTTTATAAAAATGCATAAATACAAACATAACATGCACAATCATAGACATTATCAGCACTGGAAGTGTATTTGTTAACCTGGCAAGTAGTAAACAGTCATTATTGGGGGAAGGAGACTCTCAAAAAGATGACAAAGTTATAATACATATTTATATAAATATATACATATATTAAATTTTTATTTTTATTTTTTCAAAACATCCTTTGTGTCCATCCTTGTTAAAACAACAATGTGAATGGAAAATATATTAATTTAAAACAAAAGCAAGAAAATAAGAGAAAATCCAAAGACACACGGCAGACAAATCTAGGATCTCTAACAGTGTATAACAGGAATTCCAGGACTGAGTGGAAAGGATATAAAAGCAATGATTTTAAAATGATAGAAAAAAAGCCAGTACAGTGGCTTACACCTGTAATCCCAGCACTTTGGGAGGCTGAGGTGGGTGGATTGCTTGAGCCCAGGAGTTCGAGACCAGCCTAGGCAACATGGTGAAAGCCTATCTCTACTAAAAACTTTTAAAAGTTAGCTGGATGTGGTGCCAAGCACCTGTAGTCCCATCTACTCAGGAGGCTGAGGTGGGAGGATCCCTTGAGCCCAGGAGGTCAAGGCTGCACTGAGCGGTGATGGCACCACTGCACTCCAGCCTGGGTGACAGTCAGACTCTGTCTCAAAAAAAAAAAAAAAAGAAAATGATAGAAAACAATCTCCATAAATGGAGCCGAGATTTGAATCTACAGAACAAAACATCTCCCAGAGTGTCAGGCAGAGACACTAAAAAAAAGACATATCTGTAGACGTAGCTTACTAGATGTCTGAATTCCAAAAATAAATAAAAACAGCCAGGCAAAGTGGCTTATGCCTATAATCTCAGCACTTTGGGAAGCTGAGGGAGGAGGATCTCTTGAGGCCAGGAGTTCAAGACTAGCCTGAACAACAAAGCAAGACCTGTCTCTACAAAAAATAAAAAAATTAGCAGGGCATGGTGGTATACAGCTGCAGTGCCAGCTACTCAGCAGGCTCGGGCAAGAAAATCCCTTGAGCTCAGGAGTTTGAGGCTACAGTGAGCTATGATCTCACTACTGCATTCCAGGCTGGGCGATGGCGCGAGATCCTGACTCAAAAGAGAAAAATACTTTTAAAAATAAGAAGAAAGTGTCATACATTCTAGTCAGAACAAAACAGAAAAAGAAAATATTCCCACAGAGGAAAAGGACTGCCTGCATCAGACATCTTTTCTGCAGCACTAAAAATGTCCGAAGGCAAAGAGGAAAATCTTTACATAATTCTAAGAAGGAAAAGTGGTGACCATTGATTCTACATCAATCCAAACTAGCAGTCATGCCTGACGAAGAAAATAAACAAATTCCAGCTTCAGATAGGAAGGACTTGGAAGATCAGTCACCAACAGATTGGCTAGCTACCGTGCACTGTACCCAGACAGTGGAGTGGCGCAGTCGTGGACAAAAGGAAAGCATGCACAGACGCCGTGACCTGAAGAAAGACAGCAATGCTCCCGCCTCGCATCCTCACCACAGCCCATGCTCACAGCAGCTCCCCAAGGAAGGACAGAGGGGCCATCACTAACTCCATTTTACAGATGAGGGAACTGGGGTTGGAGATGGTATCTAATGTACCAGGTCATGCAGCTGCTAAGTGGTGGAGTCAGAATTCAAATGGAGAAAGGTAGCCAAATCCAAAGCTAGTACTACTGATATTAGGCTACACTACCTCCTACTAAAATATAAAAGAAAAAATTTAAAAAGAAGATTATATGTGATATACATACCATTTCTTAAAATAAATCATTAAAGCATAACAAAAAAGCCTAAATATTAAACACTTAAATATGAATGAAACTGTTAAGAAATGATCTAAAATATTAAAAGGTATATATTTTTAAGTGTTACTGTAATTCCTATTTAGTTTCATAAAAGCTGCAGTGAGATTAAGGGAAAATAAAAGCAGACTAAAAATTCCACCCTCTCCAACGATAGAATGGGACACAGGAAATTGATAGAGTTTAATTCTTAACCATGTCAGAAAAATATGTTAAAATACATTTGTCAAAACTTTAAGCTGATTACTGAGTAACAGTTGCTACTTCCACATAAATACTAGAAAATAAATAGAATGTAGAACTCTCAAACCATTACAAGGGAAAATAATAGAAAATAGCAAAAATCAGGACAACAGAAAACAGAAAACAAGATATCAGGTTTCAGACTAAACCTGGTAACCCACCACATGACAGTGGGTTATTAACAGTGAGACATTCCACTGGGTAAGGCAAAAACCTAGCCTTCTGTTTAAAAGAGACCCAAAGCAGACTGGTACTGAAAGTTGTAATACGGGAATTATCAAAGATATATCAAAGAAATGCAAACCAAAAAAGGGGCAGGATTAGCAATATAAATATGAAACAAAAAGGAGTAAATAGAAAGAGGGATATTTTATATTTTAATGGAGATGCCACAACAAGAAAAAAAAGCCATGAACCTTTACCTACCAAAAAGCGCAGCAATAAACACAAAAGCAGAGCCCTTAGAGCTGTCAAACTGACACACCCACAGCCTGAGAGAGAGTCAGATCAAAGAAAATAAAACATTTAAAAAGAGGATGCAAAGGATTTGAGTATCACCATCAGAGCTCCTTTTAACTGTGATCAGCAGCACTTTAGACTATACAAAGAATATTCAATCTTTACAAACACTCTATTAAGAAAAGATGAAATCAAAATGAGCAGTCAACTTAGCCTGCTAAAAAACGAAAATAAGAAAATTAGTAGGATAAAAATTAGTGGGTACTAAAAAAACTGGTAGAATTGATGAAGCAAATAATAACCCTTTGGAAACACTAAACCAAACCAACCTCTGAAAAGTAAGTCAAAAGAACAGACTGAGATGTACAGCATCAGAAATGTTAAAGGAACACAATTATAGATGTAGAGAATACGAAAGTGTTAAACAACATACATGCCACAAAATCTGAACATTTTGACAGATATGATAGCTAAAAAGTTCATTGCCAAAATGGACCCAAGAAAAATCAGACCAACAGAACGAACCAATACTGAACAATGTGAAAAAGATGTTACACTCTTCTTACCAAAAGTCTACCAGACCCAAAGGGGTTTTATGAGTAAAGTAGGAATAGATCCTATTACTGAAATTGTTCCAAAATACAGAAAAAGAATGGATTCCAAATCATTGTTACAAGGCTAGCAAACCCTGTTTTCGAAACTGACACAGCACACTTACATGTGTGCATACAAGCCTCTAAACTAGAGATCCACCACTTTACAGATAAAACCTAGTAATATATTAACCTAATAAGGCTTATCACAGGAATACAAGAATAGCTATCAGGAAGCCTAACATAATTCATGTAATCACAATCATCTCATATAAATTTTATAAAATTCAACATCTTCAAAAAATGGTAATTTTGTATCTTCTTAAAGAACTAGGATTAAAATGTGTTTTAATTCAACAGAGTATAAAAGGGTACAACAAGAAAGGCTAAGAAAATCTTAAGGAACAAAATAAAGAAGGGACATTGTCTTCTCATATGTTGTAATTCATGTAACATTCAAAGAGTTAATACAATTGCTGCAGAGAATAACCACAATGCCTGGACCTATTAATAATTTGACAGGTGTGTGCCATATTTTTATTACTATTATGACTACTCCTCTTCCATCTTCCCATTCACAGAATTCAACACCTGCACAATACCATATTGAAGGTCACACCTGAAAGAACCATTTCCTAACTTCTGACCTCACAAGAATACAGCAATAAACACCTTGGAGTGCACAACGGCCTTAAAAACACACATACGGGTTCTTCAGGACTCCCTCGCACCAGCCCCACTCAGCTGCTGGTGCCAGTGAAGAAGGCAGTCTGCCCAGAGAAAAACCGTCCACCTCCAGCACCTCACCTGGTCAGACCTACGACCTTTAGAAGCCAAAGCCAAAATGAATTCTGGACATCACCTAGTGTAGCTGGAGCTTTTCCATAGTTATCAAATGAGACACCAAGCTTCTCAAATGTATACCACTGGAATGATGTTTAGTTTCTTATGCTTGTTTAAGGATTGAAGTTTATTTGGAAAATTCTAAATACTTTTATAGGTATAGAAATGTTAGCTATAGAAATACAAAACTTCGACTGTGTTCAGGAAGATGTATTAATGATTAACAAGAATTTAAAAGATGCTTATGTAAAAAGAACAAGAAATTGTTCAAAATGTCCCAACCGAAAATATAATCTCCACTTAGCCACTGGGTAAAACCCCATCTAAGATCATTTATTATCACCTGATTCAATCACAGAATTCTATAGCTGCCTAGACTGGAGTTTCAATAACGGTGAATTGTTGAATATTATGGACGTCTCTATCCAAACACTTAAGACAAATCATCTCGGGCGGTTTCAAATTAAAAGCTTGTAAAATATGTAACCTCTCCTAGTTTTTGCAATTAATAGGGTACATCTGCAATTAGCCTGACTTACTGAATGCAGTGCTGTTGTCATTAAAAGATGTCTGTGAAAGTGCTGCTGTTATTATGCAGGCTCAAGAGACCAATCCCTCCTAGAGGGCAAACAGTGGACTGGTGGAAAACAACAGCCATAAATCACACTGTCAGGCGGCGGGGAGAGGAGTGAAGCACAGGCACATGAAGGCCATTCACGGGAAACACAGTACAGCCGCTTCCTAGGCAGGATTTACTGCACCTGTAATTAATTAAAATTTCCTTCAAGCTAAATCTTTAATAAACAAGGATTTGTGCTGACAATAAGGAAAAAAAAAGGGGCTCCAGCAATACAATTTTACAACATACCTCGCAGAACAAGCCCAGCATCTATCATGTCTTCTATCAGGTGTATACACTGACTCTAAAGTTAATAGGAATGATACCATTTTGCATTCTACTATAATTCGTGCACTTAGAATGTGTCTGAAATATTTCAGATGCTTGAGGAATAATGTGGCTTTTTTTTTTTTTTTAAGTTTCTTACTCCCGTCTAGCTTTTTAAAAAGCCATGTCTTTTGCTCTAGTTTCAGAAAACAGGCCCTTTTAAAGAACGTCATGTTGACGGGAGTTTCATCGGATGGCCAAGTTTTTGTGTTATTTGCTTTTCTTTTTTTTTTTTTTTGAGACGCAGTCGCCCAGGCTGGAGTGTAGTGGCGTGATCTCGGCTCACTGCAAGCTCCGCCTCCCAGGTTCACGCCATTTTCCTGCCTCAGCCTCCCAAGGAGCTGGGACTACAGGTGCCTACCACCACGCCCGGCTATTTTTTTCTATTTTTAGTAGAGACGGGGTTTCACCACGTGGCCAGGATGGTCTCGATCTTCTGACCTCGTGATCCGCCCGCCTCGGCCTCCCAAAGTGCTGGAATTACAGGCATGAGCCACCGCGCTGGGCCATTATTTGCTTGTTTAACCACACCTTGCACTTCACTGTTTCCATTTGGGGCCAAATGTATCTGAACACGAGAATAAAAGGTCTAAGTGATGTTGAATGACCACGAACATTTTTGATAAAGTACATGTGTACCGTCTCTCTAGACTACATATTGAGTCAATCAGCAATGCCTCATTCAGCATCTTTTCTTTTCCCAACCTCTGAGGTGAAGAGGCCTAAATATTCTTTGTTTCTAACAACAGCAAGAATTACCTGAGTAAATGTTACTATTAGAGACCACAATAAGCTCTTCATACATACATATTAACCCAAAAAGTCCTCACAAGTTTACCAAAACTAACCATTTTACAGGTGATCAAATCAGGCTCAGAAAGGCAAGTGACTCGCCCAAGCTTGCAAAGTTATAAAACAGGAGATCCAAGATTCAAACCCTGGTCTTATAAGCACAAAACCAATGCACTTAAAACTGCATGCTCTTGTTGCTTCTCCCACTCTTATGCATCTACATGTCATGAATTGATTAAAATGAAACAAAACTCTTTAAATTACCTAAGATGTTACAGAACTACTAGAGCCTACATAGCAAAAAAAGGTAGGAGAGAGACAACTGTTTCAGAACATAAGCAATTTCTCATTATATATCTTGCAATAAATTGAAAAAAGGATCCTTAATCATTAAATAAACTTTACAAGACAGTGCTAAAGATGTCACCACCTACTGTGAATTATGGGATAGGTATCACAAGACTGCCTTCTTTATATCTCTTCATTTATTATATTTTCTTTCCCCAAGAAAACAGTTGGCTTTTTAAGGTTAGTTAAAAACATCCTTTTTTTTTTTTTTTTTTTTTTTGAGCCCTAGCAACATCAAACATCTGAAATGCAGTGTTTCTGGTTGTTTTAACAAATAAATATTAATCAACTCACATGAAAGTTGCTCTATACTAGAAAAAAAGATCACAAAATATAATGAGAAAAAGGAAATCTTGAACTTTTATTAAATGAGGTTTCAAGTGATCATTAAAAGAGATTCAGAAGCCTAAAAATTTCTTTATCAGATTTCATCATTTGGTTGAAACTATCAGCTGTATATTTTTTTGCATGGCTGCTGGGTGTGCATTTGACAATTCTAAATTATGCTGCCAATCAAAGACTATTAACAAAGATAACATAGCATCAAAGGGTGAGAGAGGTGGGAAGCTAAAGGGCAATCTGGGGAAGAAGAATGGTAGATGTGCTCAATTGAGAAATTGACCATTTGATATTTTTCCAAATAAAAAATTGTTAATTTTTTTTTTTTTTTTTTTTTTTTTAAGACAGAGTCTCGCTCTGTCACCCAGGCTGGAGTGCAATGGCACAGTCTAGGCTCATTGCAATCTCCGCCTCCTGGGTCCAAGAGATTCTCCTGCCTCAGCCTCCCGAGTAGCTGGGACTACAGGCGCATACCACCACACCCAGCTAATTTTTGTATTTTTAGTAGAGATGGGGTTTCACCACGTTGACCAGGCTGGTCTCAAACCCCTGAGCTCGTGATCCACCCACCTCAGCCTCCCAGAGTGCTGGGATTACAGGTGTGAGCCACCATGCGTGGCCACTTTTCAAAATTTATGTCATACCAGCTACAACAAAGCATTTGGAAAATAAAGATAATCTACTTGAATGATAAAACAATTCTGGCATTATTATTCTTTTAAATATTTCTCAACAGAAATTCTCTTCCCTTCCCTGTTCTGTCCAGCATTGAATGTCCCAATGTCAGAGTACCATTATTAAATTTAGACAGGACAGCTGGTGGGCACAGAAAGTTCACTCACTGCAAAAAGCAATCACAGCTGATAAGGAAGTCAGGCATTAGATGCTGAGTTAGAGGACGAATCACCATAAACAGAACTTTTGAAATATGAATAAGAAACACAGGCTCTATTGTAATTTAACACACATGTAAGCCAGCAGGTATGCATGTGTGGTGACAAAGATCTGCACATACAGAGAAGATTGAAGGTGCAGAGGAAGCAAATACCCCTTCAGTAGTTGAATCCAGAAACCAAAATTATGATCTTAGAAATGTCAATATCAAGGCCTATGGAAAGAAACTATTAATACATTTTCAATGTGTCATCACCACAAATAATAAGCCAATATTAACATTAATAAAAAGTAATAAACATAGCGCTTCTAAGCAAGAATATAGTTTGATACATATAAATACATCTTTTTGATCTTTTGCCTAACAGTTTACATCTTTAGTGATCTAAGATACTTTATAATGGAAAAGGAACGGTAGGAAGAGAGTTAAGAGTTTGAATAAAAACACAAGAAAACCGTAATCCTGTTTTTCCTCAAAAGTTAATTAAGAATCTTCAAGTTAAAGTCCTTGGTAAACTGTAAAACACTGAAAAAATTATTAACCACCATATGTATGCATGCGTCTATGAAGGTAAAACAACCTCAGAAGGTAAAACCACTGCAACCAAAAGTGAAATATCTCTTCTTAAAAGTTTGCCCTCCAAAGTTAAGGAGGCAAATTTCACCAAGTTCACTGTCAATTCTATTTCCATAATGAGTCCATGTATGTGGTTTACATGAAGGCAGTTCTTCAAACTATGGTGACAAAGGAACTGGAGGCAAGCTATGATCCAGGTAAAGGTGTCCAATACGCACACTTTACTACTCCAAAAGAAAATGAAAGGAAGAACATTTTTTTAAATTGCCTTTATAAGACAAACATCAGCTAATGAGTCCTGCTACAGGATTTTGCAGTACAAAACACTAAGAGATGTTAACAGATAACAGAAAAGAAAAAGGAACCACAAATGCTTTACAAGGATAGTGACAGGAGAGTTTAAGGTTTGACAAACCATTTAAGGTTTGACTAGACAACAATCTAAACTGTTATTATCTTCATATTGCTAAAAATCACTTCTTTTTATAACTCACAGCATTTACCCTAATTTATTAAGTATCTTATCCAGTTTATTTTCCACTTATCACTTAAAATTCTGGGCAAAGTCAGTTGGTTTTAACAATAACAGTGTAAGCAAAATTCCATCTTGCCTTACTTGTGCTACCAAACCATAGATTTTTCTGAGTCACTTCTATCAAAAGCTTGCTTTTCCATGAACACAAACACAACAGGAATCCTGGAGTTTCATGGTCCCCGTGCATCTGACTCCGTGAGGCAAACACCCCATAGCCCTTGCAGCCGGCACTGCTTTCCTGGGCCCTGAGAACTCACTCAAGAGCTCAGAAGACTCAGGAAAGAAAGAACTAGCTCCTAAGAGACTGCTGCTTCTCCTCAATAATGTAACCTGCAAATTCACAGTGAAACTGTGTGATTATTATTTATTCAGCAAATGCTTATGGTCACCTGGGATACAAAAATGAATCAGACACAGTCCCTACTCAACAGAGCTCACAGTCTGGATGGTTGGAGAGATGAGAAGAAAAAAGGAAGAACACAGCGTATCTATGCTACCCACAGGTGCACAGATAAAGCTCCTTTTCGATACTGTGATGTTACCAAACTATAAGTGAAGAAATACAACTGTCAATACATGACGATCAAGGATTCGGGGAACAAAACACAACTAAAAAGCAACAACACTTGGGAAATTCTCAAAATGGAAGGTTTCTTCTTTCACTCATCAAAAACAGATTTTAAATGCATATTAACAAATGCATTTACCAATTAAGAGTTGTTATTCTACTTCCGTATCCACTTTCCTAAAACTGTTTAAAGCCGCTAATGCCCAAAGTCTCTCCTTACTGGACGCAGCCACCTGCGCAACCAGGCTTGTGCCCTGTCTGAGACGATTCATATTTCACTGGACAACAGACATGTCACAACACCACCACAGACTGTTGGAACAATAAGACCTATATTCATAACTGTTCTGAAAACACAGAGCTCTAAAGTAAGTCAATAATAAAATAAATGCACAGGAAAAAAACAGGAATACACATTTGAGAAACACATGGATCAGAGAAAAACCAAATATGTAAAATGGAGGGCATTAAAACAAAACAAAAAGGTATTGAAATATTATGTTACCTTTTTGTGGGTATAGGAACCGGTTTCATGTAGAATTGCCACTCTGAATGGAGGCCACCACGTGTGAAATTCCTTCACCCACTGATGCATCACTGTTGTTGGACAGACAATTACAGTTGGACCCAACCCCTCAAACCTGCATCCAAACGTCCAAGAAGAAAACAACCATGAAAGAGTATATACAGTCATCAACTGCTCAAAAGATCCCCCAAAACAACAAACAAAAAACTTAGTTCAAAAAAAAATGCTAACTATGGATATTTATTGATATTTTCTTTAAGAAAAAGTTACTGAGGTTAAAACCCAGTAAGTAAAATCTCTATAATCCCATTGATTAATTAGCGGATGTAGGTGTTAAGAGAAAACACTAAATAATATATTAAGAGATATAACATCTATAGTAACATAAAAGAAAAACAAATATTATTTAACAAAAATACTCTTCTTTTCCCTTCTACTACAGATTAGTGAAGTTTTTATACATTAGTGAAATGTTTCTTAACCTAACTGAACATAACAGGAGCTTAAATTTGTCTGAAGCTTTATAGTCTAACAAGAGTTTTCAACCCACAGAATTTCAATCTCGCTGCCCTAGGAAGCAAGCAGGCCAGAAATGCTCCACTGATGCGGGCTCAGAAGGCTGGCATGGCACAGGTGACACGGCTACCAGGGGACAGAGGGCTGCCTAGCAGCCAGTCTTCACTTACTGCAGCCTGTCCTCACTACACCACCCTGCCTGCTCCTCCACACCACAACAGCGCCATGGAGGAGCACCGCAGTGGGTGTTCTCTCCTGGGAAGCCCACACCAACTGAGTAGCACTGCTGTGTGGGCAGGTGGCTGGGCAGCAAAATCAAGAGCCTTAAAGGCACTCATGCATTGACCCAGCAATCCCAATACAAACATTTACACAATGGGATACACACTGGAGCATTCTTTTTACTGCAGAAAAAGTGGGCGCTACCTATGTCCATAGAGAAGAGGGAAGCTGAATGAACTATCCCATTTCTTTAAAAAGCATGGGCCAGGGGTTAGGGGCACTGCCTGGATCTGAATCCCAGCTCTGCACACATTGTATGATCTCGGGCACACTATTTAACCTCTGGAAACCTCAGTTTTCATTTTCAAATGGGAATAATAACAGTATTGATCTTATAGGGTTATTAAGAAGATTAAATCAGTTAACATCTGTAAAGTGCTTAAAACAGGACCATACAGAAAATACTGTAAGATTCTGTTAAATAAGATGGAATATCATATAACTATTAAAATCATTTTGAAGAAGTTAATAAACTAGAAAAATGTTCATCATAATTTTTAAAAATTATTTATGGAATCATCCCAATTTCCTTAGACATAGGTATAGGTGGAGAAACTGGTCGTGGCCATTGTCTCAACATCCATTCCCCTCTCTCTTTCTCCTGAAGAATCAGATTTCTGCAGGTGCGCCTCCTTCTTCCTTCCCGCAGACACAGTTTATGGGACTCTGACCACTGCTTGGCTCAGGAGCAGGAATCTTGACTCATCTATAACCTGTCAGTGCATGGTACCCCCCTGAAACTCTCACTAGTCCTGAAGCTGGCCTGGCAAGACTGACCAACTTTGTAAGGAAGAATTACATTCTAGGTTGGGAGAGACTTTTCTCTCCTGGTCTTTCTAGCTACATGTACAGACCAATGGTCGCTGGGTTACAGTGGTAAGGAGATCTAATGATTACAAGGAGACCTGGCCTTAGGCAAAAATTAAAGTATTTGGGTCCCTGAAGACATCACTGAACTGCTGATCACGCTGTGTCCACAGCCTCCCCCTCTGTAGGTTTCTAAGTGTACCATATATTTGTGAATGTTTAACCCAATTTAAGGCCAGGTTTCACTTAGGTGCAGTCAAATATCCCGATACATCCTACACTGTATTCCCTGTCCGCATCTGCACTCCTCCTGCCCTTCTGGGACAATGGGACAAGTGTCCCTTTTCTTGTTTGAGACCAATCCCTTTAGCTAAGCTCTTGAGCTTATATCTCCACAAGCAACGCTCCCATTAATGTAGCCAATTTATCTTCAGTCTTGCTGGAGGTTGGGTGCCAGTCAGTGCATAAGATGAAAATTAAGCAGAAGTCAAAACTAACCATGGCAACCTCTTCAACAACACTCAGCTCATGTTACAAGAGGCAACTAAAAACTGGGACTGACTGAGGGCATCACAGGGCCACACGCCTGCCTTTCACACACCTGGAACAGAGTTACTGCACTCTGCACACAGTCATCCCTCCCCTCCACTCCCTTTCCTGCCCCACAAAGATGTTGACTGTGTGAAGCCAAATGCACATACATTACTCCATTGTACACACTATCCCCATTCTATCTCACTAATTCCCACAATTTCAATTCTAGATGCTGGTAATGCCAAATCTAGGTCTCCGGCCTAGATTTGCAGTTCACTCTTCTGAACTCCAAACCACCACACACTAGGTATCTCACTGCCAATATCCCCATAGCACCACACACCATCCTCCCTTACCTGGCTGTCTCCCATCCCCATGCTTCCAAACCAATGGACAGAACTGTCTCCCACTGTCCAGGTGCCCAAATCAGAAACCTAGGCCTCATCCTTGAGCAGACCTGCTTGCTCTCCACCATGAGCAACCTACACTGAGTTCACATCATTTTTACCTCCTGAATCCTTTCAGTCACAGTATCTCTCCACCTACACTGTTACTATGCCAGTTCCAGCCACTCTCCTCTCTCATCTGGCTTACTGCATCTTCAAGGATGATTATTTCAAACAGTAAAATTTGAATTTCTCATCCCCTCACTTCAAAGCCTCTAATGGCTGCCCACTGCTCTTGGGACAGAGATTAAACACCTGGATTTGGCCTACGAGGCGACAAAGACTGACCTCTGCTCGGCTCTCCTGCCTTACCTCTCACTGCCACTATCCTAACACTTGTTCCTGTGGCCAGGAGCCCACCAGCCTGAACCATCTTCCCTTCTTTCAATCGACCTTCACCTTGTCCTGGTTACCCTCTTACCCCTCCAGCTACCTTCTACTCAACTTTCAGATCTCTAGCTTCCTCAACAAAGCCTTCCCTGTCCCTTTCTCCGTAAACAAGTTAAGGACTCTTCCTTAGTGCACTCCACATTAACCCTGTCGTAACACAAATCACCTTTACTGTAACTGTATGAGATCCTCCCTAAACTCTGTGAGAGGAGAGATAATCTCTTCTTCAAATGATCTCAATGCCTAATGGCAAGCAATTAAAGAATACTGGCTTTATTAAATTAAAACATTTTTTAAGATTGGAAGAAAATATATCAACATGCTAAAAGAGATTATTTCAGAGTTGCGGAATCATAAGTGATTTTTGTTTCCTTACTAGAGCTCAGAAATAAATGATTTCTGAACTTAAAACAATTTTTGGCCTGGTGCAGTGGCTCACGCCTGTAATCCCATCACTTTGGGAGGCCAAGGCGGGTGGATCACCTGAAGTCAGGAGTTCAAGACCAGCCTGGCCAACATGGTGAAATCCCGTCTCTACCTAAACTACAAAAATTAGCCGGGTGTGGTGGCGAGTGTCTGTAATCCCAGCTGCTTGGGACGCTGAAGCATGAGAATCGCTTGAACCCGGGAGGCGGAGGTTGCAGTGAGCTGAGACTGCGCCACTGCACTCCAGCCTGGGCGACAAGAGCAAGACTCTGTCTCAAAACAAACAAACAAACAAAATACAACTTTTACAAATAACTAAAGAGTAAATCATACAGTGCTTGAAATATTAAAAATCATCTACTATACAACTGAAAAATAATCTGTAGTTCTATAGAAAAATAACAAAACTTTGGTCAAGCCCTAACTTAAATGAAGCCTACCCTTATACTCCAACGTGACAAAATACCTGTCTACTTTGAAACTCTCCCTGCCTCCAGCTACAGTCACCACTGTCCCTGCCCTTCAACTGGGTGGAAAGGGTCAGACTACAAGAAGCCAGAGGCTACAGGAGACTCCGACACTCTTCCTACAGAGTTTCTAAGCTATGCTCCTCACCAAGACAGGGCCTCTCTAGGCACCCCTCGAGCTCCCTGAGGAGAGTGGGACTCTGCCCTGGCCCCTTCCGTGGCAGCAAGCCTTTCTAAAAGGATTAAATGCACCAGCTTCTTTCTGTCCTCCAAGGGGAATAAAAGAGTTATCATCAATACGCACTTAGCAGGGATTAGGAAACAACCAATCAAAAGCTGTCTAAAATATTTTTACAACAAACTCACATTCAAATAAGCATAAATACATGTATATGTTTTTTCAGGTTATACAGTATTTTTTTCTCTTTTATAATATGCCTTCTGCAAACTGCTACATTGATGACTCACATTTTGTTATTTAAGGCTAGTATATTCTTCTGGCTGAACATCTATCTGGCATTATTATGATGCCCTTTAATTTCTACCATTTTCCCTCTAGTAGAAAAATTTGGAGATTTTCATGCTGAGTTGAGATCTAGAAGCAGACCTAGATTGTTGCTGGACCACAGCAGGACAATCAACTCCATTAACAGTCACGTCGTCAACTGAATCACCCTTTCCTAACCCCTAATTCCAGTGAGATGAACTTGAGTAATGGCTAACTGTACTACAGTGATTAGCATCAATTACCAAACAGACTACAATTCCTTTAATCTTTGATTACCATTGATTACCTAATAAATTTAGGGCAAGCCAATAGCTCCATGGTCAAATATATCAACCTGCAAGATGGAAATCTGCTAGTCATACCCAGAACTTACCAGGAACAACAAAGTAAAATATTTATCCTTGAAAGTTTATTAAATTTAGTAACATTATAAATTAACAAAATGATATCCAAGACTTTAAAAAATTAACTGAAGTTTGAAAAGTCAAATTATTTCCTTTTCATTGTAAGATGATAGGATATAAGCATTGATAGTTAATTGATTACAGCTGTTGTTCATTATTAGCCTTGACTTCATTCTTAGTAGGATTGTCACCACCCAAGAGAGCATGTTTTAATTTTTAGATCAAAACTACACTGCAGGGATGACTTTAGGTTTCCCAGGACCCAAGCATTAGACTCCACGTAAGTTTGATGATAATAGGAAGGGAAGCAAAGAAAAGAAATGGGAAATAAGAAAATCCCAGAAACCATTTTAAGGAAAGAAAGAGTCCTAGAAACCATTTGGAGGAGTTTGGGGTAGTCTAGTTACCAAAAACACCCAATAGAGTTGCAGAAAACAAGCCAACCAAAGAGCTTATTTGAAACAGAAAAAGCATATTATTTGAAACAGAAAAAGCATATTAAAAAAATGAAGTCATAGATAAGACAACACTAAATGCCCACTTTCAACTTCAACTTTTCCTTAGATCTGGAATGTTTTCACATGCTTCCAAGCAAAATGTAATAGAATTCTCATATTTGAAAAAAAAATCCCCTGCTTCAACATAACTTCCTTGTAACAACAACAACAAAACGTCTAGCATTTAAAAATCTCCGAGTGTTTTCTTCCCCTTCCTACATCTATATAAATGCAACTGGGGTTCTAAAATATTCTAAAACTCCAAACACTCCTCACAGAAGTATTGATCTGCTAACTTAATGAAAAGAGTAAGAAATAAAAAGAAAACACTAAACTCTAGAGACTAAAACAAGATCTTGACTCAGTTTATGGTTCATATTTGGCTCTCTACTAAGCATTTTGCTGCTGATGAGCTGGAGTGTAGGAAGAACTTTGGGCACTTGCTGACTTCAGGCACACTGACACTACTGTAAAGACTATCTCCAAATCATATGTAGTGAGTGTCTGAGGTTTCCAGGGCACACCCCTCTAGCAAATACCTTGCTCTTACTCTTTACATAAGCCCTGAAACACAAGGAGCTTGGACTTATCTGGGTTCAATATGATGGAATATCCTACATAATTTACCTACCAATATTTTTACCAATACCAATTTCTATAAAGTCAATTTACAGTTTAAATATGGAAGTGCTCATAGTACTTTCTTTCAAAATAAAGTATTTCAGTCCTACCACACCAAATAAATTAAATGCTTATCCTTCTGGAATACAAAAGCCTTAATAGTTTATTTAAATTTCTAAAGAGAAGAAAGATTAACATCTAAACATAGTTTTCTACCATTTTAGGTAGTCACTTAGGTTTTGGCCTTAGAATTTATTACATAAAGTTCATAGATTGGGAAAGGCAGAAAGCACAAGGATCAGACAAGTAACTTCATTCAAAAACAAAAGACAGAGCAAGCTATCTAGAAATGCTATCATGCACACTCATTATAAAGGAAATTAGGGAGAATGGCTTCTTCAAAGCTCCAGCTCTCCCCATGAATAGACTTTGTACTTACTGTAATGCTCACCTGGTCTCCTGCCAGAACAACTATTTTAATGCAAAATTTAATAAATGGAACTAAAGGTATTATGTCTAATTTAAAATTCCATATTGTGTAAACTATTGATATTAACATAATTGAGTTTGTAAACAATCCATTTGTAGAAGCTAACCTTAGACATCGTATTGACCCAAAATATCTAGTGGGGCTCATCTGCAAAATGAAGCATCAATGCCTGGAATTCATTAAAAGTGTTACATGTTTAATTTCTCCTGCCCTACAGCTCCATTGTCTCGTAAAATTTTTCCTTTGATGTCCCCCACTAAAAGAATTAAAGGAATATTGTAATTGAAATATCATCAATAATTCACAAGACCCTCCTCCACAGCAATACATCTGATGAAATATTAATTGAGCTCCACAGACTGACAGTCTGCAGAGGAGCACTTGCCTGTAATTTGAACCACGAGTCCTGATCTTGCTGTAGCTCAGACCTGCCAAGAAGGCAATTATCTGGATGGTCTTGCCCAATCCCATTTCGTCTCCCAGAATTCCTCCTGCCTGCTGGCAGTGCAATTCCCACAGCCACCTAACACCTGTCTGCTGGTACCTACAACAACAAACACCAACAAGAAAAGAGAAAATGGCAAATGGTGGATAATACAGATCATAACAGAAAGTACTCATGAATTAATCATTTGGCTAGGTTCTAGTACCAGTCAGAGAAACATGCGGGATGTGTGTTTTACATGAGTATTATATTTATAAGGTCATACATTTTTGATCACCTAGGCATAAAATCACAAATTCTTCTTTACAAAACGTTAACACATTTCTAATTAAACTGATAGATGGGGTAATTAGAGACTATTTCCTTTCTTTTCAACATTAGAAATAGCTTGCTAAACAAGCATAAACTTACTATTTTTTACTCACTTTCTGGGGGAAAAAAATCCCAAACATTTTTCATAAAGTTCCATTAATTTTTCTACAAAACAGAGGCACTAATGTTTATTTTTTCAATCTGAATAGCATCAAAAAAGCAGGACAGAGAACACCACAACCTACAGCTTATACTGTTGAAAAGTCATTTGGTAATCATATTATCTTTTAATAGAAAAAACTAAATTTTAAGGTCATAAACAAGTCTGAATAAATAGGGCTGCTCTCAAAATTAGGACATAACAGATGATTCTGTCATATTACTAGCAGATGCAAAAAAGAACAGTTTAAAGACTCAACAATACAAAAGGTCTTTTTAATATTTCAAAGCAGAAATTGATTCAGGGAGTTTACCATAGGTATAAAAAGATCATAGCTATTAAGATTTTAAATAAGGAATATGGGCCAAAGAGAAATAATTTAAACCACCCTCCGCCCCGCAAAAAGTAGAAGTTAATATTTTTCTTTCTCCATCAATGATATGTTTAATCTAAAACCTAAAAATAAAGTTAAAAAAGGAAAAATACAAAAAAATTTTCTGAGAGTGGAAGAAACACTTAACAACAGGGAATGGTATGAAGATTATATCCCAAGTTACAAAATCTAAAGCAAATACCACTTGAATTAAAAGATGATGGGTTAGATGAGGTGGCTCATGCCTGTAAATCCCAACACTTTGGGAAGCCGAGGCAGGAGGATCACTTAAGCCCAGGAGTTCAAGACTAGCCTGGGCAACATAGTGAGATCTCATCTCTACCAGAAAAAAAAAAAAAATTAGCCTGGAGTGGTGGCACATGCCTGTGGTCTCAGCTACTTAGGAGGCTAAGGTAAGAGGACCGCTTGAGCCATGGAGGATGAGACTGCAGTGAACCATGATTGCACCACTGGATTCCAAACTGGGCAACAGAGTGAGATCCCATCTCTAATAAATAAATAAATAAATGATGCAAGATAAAGGATTTTTTTTTTTCAAAGAAAATATCAAGGCTAATGGGCTACCCATCTTAAAATAAGACGGTTTTGTTGTTTTGCTGCCCAAATATTTACTATCTGGTACCTGGTATGTCTACCTAAAATCTCATTTTGGACTTCAGCTCATTTAACTGGTTTTATTTAATCTCCTCTCAGTAAATATATCATAATTAACTTTCTCCCAGTATTTTGCAAAGCAATTCTAGAAGTTTGACTCTAGCTGTTCCATTATTACCTATTACATAATGAAAACTCTGAATGAGAATTTTGCTGCTTATTAAGTCTGCTAATTATAATACACACACTGGATATGCACCTTGGAGAAAAGGACTAAAAATCAAAACACGATGAAGTCTAGTACAGATATAAGATGGTTCAATTTGGGAAGAAGGACAAATTCCAAAAATATGTGGTATATAATCAGAGAATAATGGCTACCACTTAAGGAGCAGGCTGCTGAGGAGGCACAGGCCAGGTGGTTTGGACACAGCCTCACAATCAACCTGCACAAAGGAGATTATCAGCACACTTTATCACTAGGAAACAAAAGCTCAGAATGCTTAAGTAACTTGCCAAATGTCACATTGCTAGAAAAAAATGAGCAAGCCAGAGCTGAAATCCAGAACTGTATGTTTCCAAAGTGATTCTAGAAATGATCTAGACCAATAGTTGTCAGCCAGGGGTAATTTTTCTCCCTATGGGACATTTGGCAATGTCTAAAGACATTTTTGTTACAACTGGAGAAGTGCAATAGTAGAGGCCAAAGAAGCTGTTCAATATCTGATACTGCACAGGACAGTCCCCACAGCAACAAATTATTTAGCCCTAGACGTCAATTGTGTCAAGGTCGAGAAACCCTGATTTAAAACAAAAGTTGGTTCATGAACTGGCTACACTAGAATAATCTCAACTTTTGAAAAAGACATACTGCAAAAAGCTCTCCAAAAAAACTGATGTGCAATTAGTTTCCAGAATCACTAAATTCTAGTCAATTGACCTCTTTTTGCTGAGATACAGAACAACCATGGGACCAGCTCCTCCAGTCAGGGAACAAAATCTCCCAGTGATTATTCTAGTGTATTATTCCTACACCACACTGCCTCCATCCTACATGGGTCCAACAACTCTTTTTGCTTGGGGCTCATCAACTTAATTAAAGTGGGGAGAGTATGGAGAGGAGCAATTGAGAAATTATTAAAGGAATGGTAAATAGCATAGGATCCCTGAGAGGGGATCTCTCAGCAGGAACCTGAGAGGGGGTTAAGACAACTAGATTCTGTGTGGCCCAGGAGAGGCAGCATACAATGTGCTGGATGTTTCCTCATCTACAAATCTAATCTTTGAGGGCTTCCAAACAGCATGTGAATGTGTTTACAAGAAGATGAACAGCACTAAGAAAATGACATTAAAAAACATATCTTACTAGGCAGCATGTAAGTCATATCTCGAGTAGGATCCCTAACAACTAGGGATAGTTACAAAGACAGCAAAGAGTGGCTCTTTCTTTCCACACAACACATGAAGGCCCTCAGATGGTATTTAAAGGAAATTCACTTGCAGATTGAAAGCACTAGCCACACAGCTGGTAGATGGTATACATAGCTGGTATTGCTAGATGAGGAGTAAGCGGCCTGACTCAGGTTTCAGCGGTGCCACTAACTAACTTTGGTTTTATTGCTTTACCTTCCTAATAATAAACAGTGTAAACCAATTACATAGTTTAAATAAAAACATACTATAGAATCTAGTTTTCAAAATTTTTGAAAAGCATATAAAAATTACTTTTTAGGGACAGTTAAAGATTTTTGTAACTATACAACATAAAAAATGTATTCTGCTATCCCTTGAGACTGAGGCATCACTATGTGACCACAGACAATTGGTGTGCATTGGCATTGCCACACTAACCCAAGATTGCATTTACTAGTGTGGCTGAAGGTAAGCTCAAAAGATTGAAGTTTGTCATTTGACTGCTAAATTAGATAGACAAATGTACTTGCTGGGCAAACTTTCAAAACAGAAATTTAAGTGTTAAACATTATCTTGCAGAAAATAGTACTTAAACGGCTAATTGTACCTTCTGACTCCCTTGTGTGCAACTCTATACCCTGTTAATTCAATTCCACAGAATGCAGTAAATACAGTAAAAAATACATCTACAGTTTAAAATTAAATTGGTCCCGCTAAAATGTAATCATAAAAGAAAAATGGAGACTATCAATTCTGTTAATTTTTTTCATACAGCAAAAGAAAATGAACAGAAGTTTTATGACATTTATAAAATATTTAAAATCCTGTTTTTGCAGAGATTAAAAAACACATTACTTTCCAGGAATGTGCAATTAAGACTAATTTTTAAAAAACAAGTATTATTTATATTAACTACTATAGAGTTTTGTCAATACACTGAATCCTAAATACTTTTAGTAAGCAAAGTTTAGTTCTATTAATTGTGAAATATCTTTGCTAGAAAATCTGACATTTATACAAAAATGCAGACTCAACTTGATCCTTGAGGATATTTGCCAAATCACTTACTACACATACACAGAAGCATCCTGTCTTTTTTAAATCAATTTAATCTACAATTTGGGTGTTCCTTTTGCTAGTACAACACTGATGGTATTTGGCTTGTTTCTTAATAAACAATCACTTTAGAGAAAACAAAAAGAGTTGCCAATAAATGTGGCCTTTATTTACCTTTCCATAGTTAATTTTCATTTGGGAGAAGCAATAAACAAAGCAACCACCTCTCTGCAAATATTACTACAGATTCGGATTTCAACTTCTGCATGGCTGTTCCTCTGTCCAGTTAAAGCAATCACAAGTCACTTCACATCTTCAGAGTTTGGCTTTCTATAATGTTTAGTGGGATAAAATAACTACTCTTCGCTCTCCACTCCCCCATGGAGAGAAAAATTAAAACCATAATATAAGCTCTTTGAGAGAAAATATAAAGAGCATGCTGTTTTTAAGTAAACTTCTTCCACAAGTTTAGGGCATGGCTGACAACTGAATCTATAAAGGAGACTAAACTTAATCATCTCAAAGAAAGAACTTTGCATCCTGCTCCCAACTACAAATTGATTATACAAAAGAGACAGAAAGAAGCTATGTAATGGTTTAACTTCCTACATGCATCTAAGAAGCCTTCCTAAAGTATCTTGTTAAGTAAATCCCAGGAGTGATGAGACTGAAAATGTTCCTCAGTATTTACATTCATCACGGGAGACCGGCCAGCCCTTAGAGATGACATGCACGCATCTATCAGGCAGCATCCGGTCATCTCCAATGCTTGGCCACTTACACATGAAACCTGGCTTCAGATAGCAACTTAATCGTCAAGGTGTTGCCCATATCTTCTCTTTTGACATTAGAATGACATCCTACATAAAATATTTAGATGCGCATTTGGTCAGCTCAAAAATATTATACTCTCAGGTACAATATAAGACACTCAAAACATCTCAAAAGTTTTTTATTCCCACATACAAGAAAAAAAATCCTTCCCAATATTGATTTTAATATGCAACTCTTCCTATTAATCTGATTTAAGAAATTAGGAGTTTGGCACCTTAAAATTACTAAGAACAAAAAAATTATTCAACATAGATGGCTTTTAAATGTGTTGCTTTTAGTCTGCTGAGACAGGTCCATATAGATTCATCAGTTTACAAACATACCCAATGTACACTTTAGTCAATTTATTATCATCCAATTTTAATGAACAGCACGTGGCTATAATTTCATTTGACAGTATCTGTTTTTGCAATAAATTGCTGCAAGTACCTTCAGGGCCCACAGGTAACTACTATGTAATTCCTAAAATGTTAATTTGTACATAACGGCTTGACAGCAAATAGAAAGGAAAGAACACATGGTACATACTTAAAAAGCTTTTTGAACAGAAAACCTGGCACTTTAAAACCTTCGTCAAATTCAGCATCGCTTTCCTCAGAATCGTCCTCCAGCTTCAGACGTTTCTCTTTGTCCTGCAGTCTCAGTTTATTCCATCTCCTACCATAAAAATAAAAATCGTATTTCCATTATTTTGATCACAAGATAGATTTAAAAAGATAGCTCCTGATAATGTACAAGAAAAAACGGGCAAATTAAAATGGTCTCTTAGGTTAATGCTGCCATTATTACCTAAAACACTGATATTCAAAGAGGAAAAACAATTCTCTTCTCCGGCCATCTCAATTCATTTCTTATGTAAATTATTACAGCTGCTCTAGAAATATTTCTTTAAGGTCTCATTTCATTATCAAAACTACTTTCTCCTCTTCTGGCATACCCTAAGGGAAAATTTCTCTGCTAGTTCGTAATACATGAAATTAGTTCTAGAAAAGATTCAGTAAAAATTTCAATATAATTGAGTGCCTTCACAACAGCAATACTATATAACAAAAAATAGATTTTATTTATAATTACTGTTTCTGTGCTAAAGATATGATAATCACAGCATAAAACAACAAAGTACCTTAAACATAAAGCAAATTTTGGGTCAAAAATCACTGAATCAAGTTCACATTACTGATTACTTAACTGGGGGAAGAGGCATCAGCAATATATAAGCACTGATAGTGCTACCACTCAAAAAAATGTGTTCACTGAATAAAATCTAAGTTACAAATTTAGTAATATACTTTCAGATATAAAATAAGGCAAACACTTATATTTCAGAAGGAAATATATTTCATCTAAATATCTGAAAGTCTTAGCAACACACCAAGGTTGTGGAGAAGGTGCACCCATTTAACGAGACTAATTTTGCATTTATATAACTATAATGGACCCTAGTTGTCATGAGTGGGGAAAAAAAGCCTCAAATTCTATTCACTTTCAAAATAAAAAGGTGACTTTTTTCATTTGGCATGGTGCAACTGATGCTCTGAATTTCACAAAATGGTGGAAATGGAATAAAACAATAATACAGAGAAATGCTTTCAAACTACAATTAAAAAAAAAAACTCACAGGAAGTAAGAGTGGCAACACATATACAGCATTTATCTGCCACTGACTATGCAAGAGTAAGAGAGAATGTCTGAGGCAAGGCAAGAGAAAATGAAAGGGTAATACTACACATGCTGCCTGGTCAGACGTATGGTGTGTTGTCCATTACAAAACCAGCACAGAGCCCAATGCTAGTATCTGAGTAGCTGCTGGTGGGCCTTAAAGCACATCCTCTGATAAACTCTTGCCTTGTTGAAAATTTCAACTCTTCAAGGTAACAAAAGGAAGGGCTAGCTGAAATTTACTTGTGATCAATAAGAACTGGTGATCTGAAATTGCACTGCACGGTAGTAAAGGACCTATAAATAAGATCAATGAAGCACTGTTGGTCATTTCCAGAGAAGAACAGTAAATGGAAGAGGCAGTATATGGCTAAGTCAAGGAAATAGCTATCATCTGACAATAGTTTAATAAGTGATACTCTTTTTATAGAAAAATTTAATGTCCTTTTTGTGCTTAACTTCTAAAGGCAATCTCTTCTTCTCCACTGGTATTTTTCTTCCTTAAAAATTATCACCGTCCAATGGACAAAATGAAGTATCTCTAGGTGGCTATGAGTCTTCTGGGTTTCATGTTATTTACAAATTTAGTTAAATGCAATGGTGTACAACAACCGTTCTTGACAGGGAGCAATTCTGTCCCTTCAACCCCACCCTGGGGTAATCTGACAATGCCTAGAGATATTCTTGGTTGTTACAACTGTGGAAGGAGTCGGGAGGATATACTACTACTGGCATCTTCCATGTGAGTCCAGGTATGCTGCTAAACATCCTACAGCACACAGGACAGCCCCCAAACCCCCCAGTAAAAAGTTATCAAGTCTCAAATGTCAATAATGTCAAAGCCAAGAAGCCCTGGCATATAGGTATCCCTTACTATCAAAACTTAGAAACTAAACAGATATACTTTCCTGATACACATATCTGAATTCTTGTTACTCACTCTGTAATTCAGCAATCAAGCAGTTTACATAATGAGAGAGTCCTCAGTATCAAAACTATGAACTCAGAGCCAAACTTCTGCATAACAAAAGATACTTGTATTTAGTAAACTTGTGGATAACATAAACGCTGGAAGAATCACAGCCACTTAAACATACTTCACTTTGCAATTTCTCCAAGATAATTTTACGGAAGGAGAAATAAAAACACCAGAATATATTGCCTTTAGAAGTCTGACACAATAAGGTCATTAAATATTTTACATACAGGGTATCACTTTTTAAACTTCATTGATATATGACGACCATTTCCTTAGACTTAGCCAGTCGATCTTTGTGGCTGTTAAATTTCCCACCACATCACTCTGCATCGAAAAGATTCAGCTTCCTCCTCCTCCCTCCCTCCTAAAATATATAGGCATCTTGTCACCACAGAACTCAGCACCTAGGAAACCACATAAGCCACTACAGAAATGATTGTATTCTAGTGCCTTCCGCTTCATAAAGAAAGATGAAAAGGGCCAAACATTTATTCAGTTTGGCTAAAGGATGACTAAAAGTGGTGGGGAAAATCATTATTGCCTACAAGTATTTGTATCATTGTGAAGACAAATCGTCCCAGTAGAATTATACACATATTAAAGACAGAAAATACCATGGTTATAAAACCATACGTATACAGAGAGGCGAAGAGATTCTTCTGTTACATAAGCAATACTTCCTCATGTGACTTATCTCCAAAATAGACCTGACCATCTGATAAGGGTCCACTGAAGCAGCACAGCTGAAGGTGGGGCCGACAAGTACACCATAGCACACTAGGGAAAGGGGGAGAACCAAGTTCATCCACACATACACAGAAACATGTCTTCCTCATCCCAGATGCTGCCAAGAGACTTTAAGGTGCTCTCTTTAACATGTCTAACCAGCCTGTCCTGTAATCTGGCAGACTGAGCAGTCTGTCTGGCCAGCAGATGTAAAGGATTCTGTATACGAACACACTGGGTTTGACATACGCAGAAGCGCAGGTACAGGCACAAAAGTCTGAGCTCATACTGGCTGTAGTCAAATCCTGGTGCCATTTACTAGCTCATGAACCCTCAGCAAGTAACTTAACTTCGTCCGCATCTAACTTTCCTCCACTGTGAGATGGGGAGAACACCAGCACCTACTTCACTGGGTTCTGGGAAGGATTAAATAAGGTGTCACATACAAAGCACCTTAGCACAGAACCTAGATTAGGAAGTACTTAATAAACTGATATAGTATTATGTATAACCACATACATTTTCTGAAATCCTCACGACAACCCTGCAGCAGATACTATTATTATGTTCACTGAAAGAAGAAACAGGTTACATATGTGGCCCAATACAATGTGCATATTGCAATGTACCCTGACTGTTTAACAGAACTATCTGAACATGTATACCAGAACAGAAACTGTGATAGCTCATCAAATGGATGCTCAGTAAATTATTACGAATAATGTGTTCACCACAGGAGTAAAGACACCTAGTCTTCAGATGGTACCTGTTGGAATATCTCAATTTAAAAATTTCGTCACAAATTTGTAAATAGTAAACCGCCATTAGGTATGGCAGTCTTTTACATGATAGTAACAAAAATAGATACAGATTGACTTAAAATTGGTAGGCAGTGGGTAAGAATTAAGATCTGGGCCAAGTAAGCTGAAATCTTAAAAATTAGAAATGACCTCAAAATGTCTAAATTCTGTTATTTCAATAAGTAGACCAGTTAACTGAGAAAAAGCAGAAGGGAGCAGTAAATAGTCCAATATTTACCCTTTTAGAAAACAAATAACTTTTTCATGTTCTCTATTCTCTCATTTTAAAAAATCCACACACGTAATAGTCACAGCTGCAGCCACATAAAACGAAGTGGTGGGCATGGTGTTCACTGGCTGTGTTTCTAGCTCCTCACAGAACTGCCAGATTCAGCCTGCTGTCAACTCCACTGGCAGCCAATTACAAGAGAAGCTGGGAACAAACATAAACCTAAAATTCCAGTCAGATGCAGACAGAGAAAACACTCCCTGGTTTCCCTACATTCATGCAGGAATGAGAATCTGGCCCAGGCTGTGGGGCCTGGGGCTGAGACTGCAATAATCATCTGTCAGAAGCAACTCAGACCCAGCACAACCAGTTGAACAACACTAGGAACAATGCTTCCTCCAGTTGTAACCTATTAGGGTGCCTTCTCAATGGAACCCTGAAAGCTAGTTGCTGTCATTTAATATATTTTAGAAGAATTTTCAGCACTCCGAGGATGTTCAAAATAAGTAAGTGGAAAGACACAGCTAGCTACCACTGTGCCATACCACGTATGCAGCCTCCTCATCTCTGTGCACCTGCATTCCTGTACTGTCCCCAAATCCTTCCCCTAACACACATATCCACACATTCAGCAGACCTTTCATACCCTCACTCACGCAGCACCTCCACTCACAGAAACCTCCCATGACCAGCCAGATTTAGGCGTCCTCTCTTCTAAGGACCCTCCCAATCCCGTGACATCTTGGACACACCTGAGAACTCTACTACAGTGCCCATCAAGTATAGCATACTGTGAAATCCATACCAGTGTCCTCCACTGGACTGGAAGCCACCTGGGGACAGACACTGTCCTAGCCATTTTTATAGCACTAGAGACTGGTATAATGCCTCCTCATGGCAGACAGTAAGTGCTGAATGAATGAATGAAGTTCATAATTGGGTTAGGGAAAAGGAAGATACAGACAGAGAAGCATGGCTTGAAAATGGTCAAAAGGGGTCATCCAGAAATAGGTTCTGGAAACTTTCTGTTCTATCTCATTTAGAGCCTACCTCTTGCTGCATTTCCTACTCCTTCTACCCGTATGACTTTAAAGCACTGCTCCTAGCTCTGTCCACTGGATAAAAATGCTTAAGGTTCGTTACAAAAAAATGACCCACAATGAGGGTGGCTGTAACATCAGATAAGTTCTTTATTTAGAATCTTATAACAAAAAAGAGATAAGGAGAAGGAAAGCTCATTATTTTGAACAATAAAAAGGTAAAT